CTTCTGGGCAAAAGCAATCCAGTGGAGTTGCAACTTACATGTATTGGACTGAATTATACACGTTCTGTTGGAGAGTGGTGGTGGTGGTGGTAACAAGAAGGCAATGACAATTAAAATACTCCAGTTATTACCAAAAAAAAAAAAAAAAAGATAGCTGGGCATGTAGTCCCAGCTACTTGGGAGGCTGGGGCAGGCGAATGGCGTGAGCTCAGGAGGCGGAGCTTGCAGAGAGCCGAGATCGCGCCACTGCACTCCAGCCTGGGCAACAGAGCGAGACTCTCAAAAAAAACAAAAAACAAAAACCAAAAAAAACCAAAATAACTCCAGTCATTCCGTTTGTCCTGAAGAAAAAAGTGGTATGAGATGAACCTGTCATTCCTGCCAGTGGTGTTGGCTCCCTCATTGTGGGATCCTGGAATTTACTATCTGTAATATTTGAACAACACTGTCCTAACCGCAAGCCAGCTGTTTCAGCTGGTACACAACTTAAGAAATGATGGAAGGAAAAACTAACTGTGCTAGACTCATTGAGAAACAGAACTGTGTGGTTTGGAAGTGATAAGTGATTTTCAAGTGCAATGCTGACTTCCTATGATGACTTTAGAATGTGACTTTGCCTAAATTGCAATTCCACGGGAGGTATTATGACCATCATAAAGTATTGGAGCAGGAAAGAGAATCTCTGCCAGATCACTGCAGCCAGTAAACTGAGAATTAGAAAATAGGCTGTGTTGGTGCTAAAAGAAAAAAAAAAAAAAAAAAAAAGGCAGCGTTCAGATCAAGGGTCAGACTTCCAAGGTTGCTGGAGTTGCTTACCCATCCTACAGTACCCAAAGTCAGTTCAACAAGTAGCTGGCTAGTCAAGGGTGTTGCCACAGAAACCTCTAGCCTGGCAGCAAGCTTCTGAGACTTCCCTAGAGTAGTCCTCAGACCCCTCGGAAAATAGCAAGTGTGCGCCCCCAGAATGGGAATCCTTACTCGCAGCCATGGAAGACAATGGGTAAGCTGATGATCACAGAGCAGAACGCAGGGAAGTGGTGACTCGCCATGGAACCCACTGTAAGGCCAGGGCTTCCTCTTCTCCCCCTTTCCAAATGAGTGTTCTTACAGTGACTCTCCTATTTCCTCTCCATAACTGTATGTAACCAGGGAGCAGTCCAGCTGAGTGGTTAAGAGCACAGGGATCAGTGATATTCCCTGAATCTGGACCCTGGCTTTGCATTATATGAACCTGAATTCACTCCTGTTATCTCATCTGAGAAATGGGGATTATAGAATCTACCTCCCACTTGTGAGGATTACATGAGGCAGAACATGGCATGTGTCCAGTACAGAGGCCTTCAATAACCATCAGTCATTGTAAGGTGTATTAGGGGTAAAAATATCATTTGGCCAATCATAGGTTGCTGGATCATGAGGAGCCACATCTGGATTTGATCATCATAAATATTCCGGACTAAGACAAGTCCCTGTAGCTAGAGACTCCAATGGAGGCAGATGACTAGATTTTCTCTGATTTTTAGTTAAATGTGGGTCAGCACTATTCTTTAGGGCACTCCCGGGGGTATCTATTGGTTTGGTTTTCCCAACCTCCCTTTAAGTTTTTTAGAGACGGGTTCTCACTGTTGCCTAGGCTTGAGTGCAGTGGCAGAATCATAGCTCATTGCAGCCTTGAATTCCTGGGCTCAAGTGATCCTCCCATCTCCTGAGTGGCTGGGTCTACAGGAGTGTACCACCATGCCCGGGTTATTTTTTTGTAGACACAGGGTCTCACTATGTTGCCAAGGCCAGTATTGAAATCCTGGTCCCAGCGATACTCCTGCCTCAGCCTCACAAAGTAGTAAGATTACAGGCGTGAGCCACTACACCTGGCCTCCTATCTTTTCAATAATACAATCTTTTTAAAATGGAGAACCTACTTCACATCAAGTGTGCACAAGATTCATGCCTAATCAATGGCATGGCTGAATTGGGGGATCCCAAACTGAGCCCATTGGGACCCCTCCCTAGTCTTTTCTGCCAAAGCTTATGAGGAGACACCACCTTTTTACTGCAGTTGTTAAGCCATCAGGATTGAGTATGGTTTTCTCAGAAGTCAAAGGGCACACTACACGATGACAGTCTATGGGAAGAATTGTCACACTTAGAAAGGCAAACCAGACAGAAGGAAAGATGAGCCCTAAGGACCCTATTCAGAGTCCCTGCTTACACTCACTGAAGTCCCTGAGCTCAGCTGCCTTCTAGGGCTTCCTTTTTTTTGTTAGCCTGCTTTGGGTTCTATTCTTGCCACTGACAAAGACCTAACATAAAAGGGAAACACTGAGGAATTTGGAAGGGAGATAATCATTTGAATTCACAGCTGGTGTTAAGGGGAGAAGGAAATACATGTATACCAAGAAAGAAAGGACAAAAAGAAGTGTAAAGAAGGGAGGTTATATTGAGAAGTAGCCTACGTGAAAGATTTCACTTAGAGATTATGTGGTAGGAGTAAAGTATGTGTATGTGTTAACAAGCCCTGCCATTGATTCTGAGGCACACTAAAGTTTGGGAACCACTGTTCTAATCAATGTTTCAATACATAATACACCTGTGCTTCCTTACCAATTTTCTGAAAAAACCAAAGTGCAAAATTTATGTTAATAATACTAAACTCACAGGGGCATGGACAGTAAGCAAAGGATAATCTTTACTGATGGAAAGACCACAGAGAAAACAGACTACCTGAAAGAGGCAGATTATTAGAGCTCTGAGACCGGCACCACGTAGCTAATAGAAGGTGCTGGTTATGTCAACAGATTTAAAAATTCAGAAAAAAATCTACTTCCATTCTTCACAGTTCACTATTTCCCAAAAGGAAATATGACACTAAGACTTAAAGGCACATATTTTGCAATTCATAAACCTTTTCTTGGAGCATAATTTTTCATCTCACTGTCACCAGCCACCTCCTTCCCAAACTGTCCTTGTCATCTTCTAAAGTTCTTAAATAGTAACATTTCTTAGGAACTCAGAGGGGAGTTTTCATGGCCTAAGCAAAAATGTTATAAACTTAAAAATAACCTGTGACTTTCTGGTTATTCAAATAAATGCCTATAGATTGCTTCTTTTCAAATTATGACTTCCTTGAAAAATGGCTCAACTGAAGCTTAATTTAGAATGTAAAAGAGCAAATGTATCTTCTAGTAGTTATACACCTTTATATGTACCTTATATAAATAAATATGAACAGTGCCTACTTAATTTTAAAACTGTCTTTTTTGGTATATCTTAGAGAGATAATAGCTGGATATAAAGTCACCCTACAAATTGCTTCCTTTCTTAAGATGAAGTTAACTCTTCCAGGATAAAACCTCCACAATTCTCTACCTCAAAAGCTTCGGCAGTATTCTAACAAAATTCTGACAAGTATTGAGTCAGGTTTTGGCATTCCATACCCATGGATCCCGACCCTGTTTTGTGGATCCAAAAAGTAAGCTTATTTTCATTTGTAGCTTTGCGTAGAACACACTGGTAATTTGTATTCATATCCTAGAATAGTGGAACAAAGGATGTGTGTTACTAATACACTATCATTTTGGGGAATGAGTTCCTGATCTGTGAGGACAGCAGCCACAAGGCAGGCTGCACAGCAGGAGGGGACAAATGCAAAGGCATTCACATTTTCCCTAATAGTTTCAAACTTTTACCTTGTCTGAAACAAAAGGGTAAGGAGAAAAAAAATGGGCTGAGGTTCTTAATGCTATCATTTAACAGACTATGTTAAATGCCCATCACGTAAGTAAAACAGTTCCATCACCATTACCAGCAGATTCCATACAAGACAATGAGACTTAGATCCTTAGGTATTCGAGTACTACCAAAAAAAGTATGTCAAGTTGGTTAACCCACCAACACACTATTTATTATCTGAACTAGATAAACTAAATAGTACTTTCTATTGAGCATATCCTAGAACTTGTACCATCTTTCCCCAAAAGTTAAACATTAAACTACCATCTATTTTCTCTGGCCCTACAAACTTCCTATAGGTACATAAACATAAAGAGGGAAGCATACCAAATGGATTTATCTTTTCTTCCTGGTGAATGAACAGCAGAAACCTGCTGGCTCAAAGATGAATGATGTTCTTGTTTTAAAAACTGTTGGATGGTCTGATATTAGAAAATGTCATATACATAGTTGCCTTTAAATTATCTTTTAGCTTTCCAAATAAGTGAACAGTGGCTTGAGAATAAGGAAGACGACAAACAAAAAAATGGATGTTTACATTTTGTTTTGAACCTATTAAGGCAGCCTGTAGCCAACCTATATTTCTAACTATAATTTGCGTTACCTGAACACACATTTAGTCGGCGGACAGGGGTGAGTAATTTGGAAACGACCAATCTATCCCAGCCATCTGTCTTATGGATCAGCCAGCAGTGAATGCATAATGAAGGAATTCCCGGAGATGAAAGACCTGGGCTCTAGACCAACAACCTTCCTTGATTTACCACATGACCTTGGAAAACTCCCTAAACTGCTCCAAGCTGCTTTCTCAAGACTAGAAGAAACAGCTGTCCTGCATATATACCACATCTACAGTCATGTTCAAATGAGAAAATGAAAATGCTTTCTAAAACTCTAAATGAGCTTAGATAAAAATCTTTGGAAGGAAAGAATCAGATGATATTCAGGGATTATGAATCGATTTTAATCTTCTAGTTTCCTCATTGACAAATGAGAGATTTGGCCCAAAGATAAAGCAGAATTAGAAAAGCCAGGTCACTTAAAAAAAAAACCCATAATGAGCTGCAGCTCAGATGGTTCAGTCATACTGTAAGTATTAACAGTGATTACTGCAAAGGTTTAGGAATAGTGAATGACTTTTCCAGGGCATGAATATTAAGGTAAAAGCTATTTTAAAAATTCAGAAATGAATGAAGCAATAGTTATCTAAATGACACAAAACCACAAAGCTGGCAAAAACTTATAGATAAAATATAAGAATGGACATTAAATAGGTTGAATGAATCCACTTCCTTTATTGCAGTAACCTCTGTACAAAGCAGCAACTGCAATACTCAAGGTTAAAACATTAGAAAAGCATTTGTGTGACAGTTATAGTACAGTATTATCAAAATATTACATTTTCAAACTTAGCAGATAATCATCCACCAGAGCTCAAATCTTTAAATTATTTCCATAGTCTTAAAAAATATGTAATGTCAGAATGCATATAAAAAGAATGTAAAAGGAAACCTAAAATACAAATGGAATAATGTAACAAATAAATAGTTGATTTCAGTAACTGTTAATCATCAGCTTAACACCACCATTCTCTTTAAACTCACTGAATTCTTATTTATAGGAATAATGAACTGTCAAATGCCATGGCATAATTATTTATCTCCAAGCTATCACCAATGATTAGAACTAAAAAAATTTCGCACAAAAATCAAAATTCAGCATAAATAAAGCTATTTTTAGCTTCAACACTAGCTAGCATCTCTAAAAATTGCTGAAATAAGTACTATAGCAATCTTGCAAATTTTCGACCTGATGTCTAGTGTTAAGTGAAAGTAATGCATTTTTTTAAGTGAAAAGCTTCTTACATTATTTCACAGACAGTATTACCCACCCCACATTATGAATATTTAGATACATTTTATGTACTTTATACACACATGTATGACGCATGACATTTGGTTCCTGTAGTACAGATCACAATGTTGTTTTCCTGAATGGGAAAAACTTAAAAAAGAAGTAAGTGTACCTGTGCACATTTCAAGATAGCAGCACTCAGTCCATGCCCTATTATCCATTTTTAAAGTTCACACGTTATTGTTTATTGAATAATATAATATTTCTACTGTCTTTACCCCCAAACAAACATTGCAAAACCTGCAATGGAACAATGCTGTGAGTTAAAATGTAGAATTTTCTCTTAAGAAAATCAGTTACTTCATTTTCTTAATATTCTGAATTCAAGTTATCAGATCTCTATACCTAGCTCATACTCATGCAGCAAAAATGCTGCACACCACTGAAAATAACGTTATAGATGTCTATCAAGATTCATGAAAACCAGCCGGGCGCAGTGGCTCATGCCTCGGAGGCCGAGGCGGGCAGATCACAAGGTCAAGAGATAGAGACCATCCTAGTCAATAATGTGAAACCCCGTCTCTACTCAAAATACAAAAATTAGCTGGGCATGGTGGCGTGCACCTGTAGTCCCAGCTACTAGGGAGGCTAAGGCAGGAGCATTGCTTGAACTGGAGAGGCGGAGGTTGCAGTGAGCTCAGATCACGTTACTGCATTCCAGCATGGCAACAGAGCGAGACTCCGTCTCAAAAAAAAAAAAAAAAAGATTCATGAAAACCTGCATAAATTTTCCACCACAGAAACTTTTATCAATTGACCCACTTAACAGTACTTTAGGCGAAGTATTCTCCATTTTTGAACTGGAAAATTGTGTGAAATTACAGCATGCCCTTCAAATGATCACCTTTGTTCTCTATGAAACCTGTATCTGTTAATCTGATTTTGAACTTGTTTACTTAAACAAACAAAAGTTTGCCTAATGAATCTTGATCACTTTAAAATGCAAAATACCAGCAACATAAATTTCATTATATATACACATATGCATCTGTGTATGCATATACATATATACACACACACATACAAATATGTAGACATCCCTTGAAATGTTTTCAGGAAATCCTTCCTTGAATTATAAATGAAAAACTTCACATTAATAATTTTATATAAAGCTTTTAGTAACATATGCACTGTCAAAATTGTACTAGTAGACTATGATGTCAAAACAGACATTTCAAAAGCACAAACTGGCAGTTCTTCTTAACACAAAAGTTTTAAAGTATTAAGAATGGATTAAATTTTAATGTTCAGAATAATCTGTTCAAACCTGAGTGTATTAAGACTAAGTGTACTTGACAATTGAATAATGAATGAAGCCTAAAAACATTTCTCTAAGAAACCAGTGGTCCATTTAACCATTTGATGAAACATTATTTTAATGACTTATAAAGGATAGTACAGTATACTGAAATTCCACTTAAATATTGAAATATTCTATTAAATGACATTGCTTTGTCTAAATTCCCTCCATAAAATCTGTTAGCATTTCTTAAAAGTCCCTCAGATTTGAGGGAAATTCTAAATTAGGACAGTTTTCTCTCCAAATAAATATAAATGATCTTGAGTATTTTTGTTTAAAGAATGATGTTTTTAAGCATGAAATAGAGAAGTATGGGATGAATCTTTAATCTTCCCTAAGGTTTCAAGAAATAATAATATAGTAATAATAGCCAATCAGAGGGGTTAAAAAGGCATTTGGGGGGCTTTTTTTCCTAGCTCTGTATTAACATATACTCATATAAACCGTACCATGGGGTCACTTTTTGGTTACCATTTCCCCTTCCCCATTTTTCATTAACCTGCCCTAATTCTCACCTTTAATATCTAACAGATACCTTTATAAAATTAACAAAACACATACAGTACTCAACACTAAATGGTCAATGGAAGAAGACAAGCAGTGTTCATTTTGTTTTAAAGTGGAAGAGACTAGAAATAAAAACAACAGTTGAAGGCAAAGTTTGACATTTTATAAATTTATAAAAGAGGATATATGGATGAAATTTGGTTAATTTCAGAAGGCACCTCAAGGCTAAAGGCTTTTTGTACTTCTTTCATCAATCAAAAAGTTAACACACTTTTATTGCTATTCAAGTAGCAAAGGAAAACTACTCTCACAAACTTCAGTTCAACAGAGAAGAATCACCATTCATTAAGATTGAGATATGGAATTGACTAAAACCGAAGTCTCCATACACATATCAATGGAGCACCTTTCCTGTGTGCTTTCAAATTAATGAAATCATGAAAGAAAAGTCACTATTCGCCATTGTGATGTTAATGTGTCATTGAAGATTTCAGTTACTACACTAGGCACTGAAGTACCATTCTGGAGGGCTGTCCACTGTATAGAACATTTACGAGTAGAAGGTAAGGACACTCTGATGATTCCCACGAACTAGGAGGATTGGTGGTAGGTCCTTAGATAGAGCTTCTAACCATGCCATGTAGAGAGCACTGGACACAGCACCTTTTCGTGCAACTGGGAGACTCCTGGTATCAAAAAGAGAAAAAAAACCTGAGCAATGCATTGACAGAATAAAATGTAGCAAAAATTATAAATTAGATTACAATAAGTTACTATAAATTACTATAATTACAGAATATTTCTGAGTGCAGGAGAATTCTGCATATAGAATAACAACCACAGTTGTGTTGCTTAGCGATAGCGACTCATTTCTTAGAACTTATATTATTGCCAGGCAATTTTGCCCTCATGAAAACATCATAGGAGTACTTACACAAACCAAGACAGTATAGCCTACTACACATCTAGGCTATATGACACTTGCTCCTAGGCTACAAACCTGTGCAGTATGTTACTGTAGTGAATACCATAGGCAACTGTAACACGATGGTAAGCATTTGCATAGCTAAATATAGAAAAGATACAGTAAAAATATGGTTTTTTTGTTTTTGTTTTTAAGAGAGATGGGTCTTAATACATTGTCCAGGCTGGACTCAAAACTTCAGGTCTCAAGCAATCCTCCCACCTCAGTCTCCCAAGTAGCTGAGACTACAGGTGCACACCATCGTGCCCAGCTTAACATATGGTATTACAATCTTATGGTACCACCATCGTACACGTGTATATAAAAGACTATAATCTTTCAACAAAGATTTTTAAGAATTTGTTCATAAGAACAGTAAATACTTCTATAAACCAGTCTCTCTGAGATATAACACTAAACCCTAGATTTCCCCTTCTTTAATAAGAATAGAATTCTTTTAGGTGAAAGGTATGTTTACTATCCAAATTTAGAAAACAGAAGCTATATATGGATAAATGCAATTTTTATCTTCTTATCTCAGTTTTAATTTCTATTTATGGATGGTGGTAGCAGTGACCAGCTGCTTTGTAAGTTTTTCTCTAAATTTCTGTGTTTTAGTGTCTTTTCCATTACAGGTATTTATCATCAGCAAAACTTGAAACTTTCTGATTTATTAAATGCTTGTTGTTAAACTAACAATCTTTTGATAGTTTTTTTCATTATTTGGCTTTTTTTGTGGGGGAGAGGCCTGAGCTTTCCTATCTAAGGACACATGTTCCAGAACTGAGAAAATGTGGGTTCAAAGAATATCTAGCTAGCCTAGTTCAGTAGAGGAAGAGCCAAAGCAGGCATTTACATCTGTATTTAACTCAAGGACAATGTGTCGGTATGTAAAATTTGTGTGTGGAAAACATAAGAATGGGAATCCAGACAGGAATCACTATTGAAGTTTAATCTGCCAAATAACATTTTTTGGGTTATTTTCAAGAGGTAGCTGTCTGGGGTCCAAATTTTAACGTAGGACCCTCCTATCCACACATACTTAATGGCTATGCTGTAGTGTTTACAAAGATAAGGAATTTTGAAAAGGTGAGAAGTGTAAACAAAAGGTTCCAATTACGATAAAAAAATTACTTGGGATTCATATAAGCTTAAGGTTAGTCTTTCTCCATATGCTTAAAGCATAGTATATTTTTACAAGTTTGTTTTTTCCTCCTTACAACAACTAAGTCAATATGGGTGTTATATAGATATGTAGCTGGAACAGAAATTAATTCAAAGCATATTATCAGAAATTAGCAAGAAAATCTTTATAAAGATATTACTTACATGACAATAATATTAGCTGTGCTTGAATGTTCCTTTAATAATTCATTTAACCTGATCTGCCGGTAGGTCTGAAATGAAACAGGACAAAGTCATTCCTAGACCATTTGGAAATAAGAATTTAGCATGGTTCATAAAACTATAAGGAGACAAAAAGAAATGGAAATGAATTTTAGTGTAATAAAAATCTTTTTTTTTTTAAATGCTTTCTGCTAACCTCAAATAAATCTATTTTAGAGTTCATTTATACAATTGACCCCTCCTATATCAAATTTGAAGTTCTTGGTTTTCATGTCTTTTATTATATAAAAAATCAATGAAAATAAAGCAGAAGTGAAAGAATACCTTGGTCTTATAAAGTTCAAGCTCATTATCTGTTATTCGCCATGGTTCATCTTCTTTCATTTTATCTGCAATATCTTGCTCTTTATCATCTTCATGAAGTCTGTATGGCTCAATCATTTCCTCAAAAGCTATAATACTTTAAAAAACAAAGAATTCTCACAACTAATCTTATTTTAAGTTACATAACAGAAAGATCTTAAATATTAAACTATAACTTGCAAAGTTAGTGCCTCTCATTTATTATGCTCCTCTCCATACCCCAACCATAATAATCACTTTGGCAATTTATTTCAAAAACAGCAATTTCTAGTCTCTCAAACTGATGAGAAAATTAGAACCCATATGGACAATACAGATTGTGCATCCCTAATCTGAAATCCAAACTGCTTCAAAATCTAAAACTTTCTAAGCACCAATATGATGTCTAATGGAAATGCTCAGTGAAACATTTTGAATTTCTGATTTTTGGATTAGGGATTCTAAACCAGCATGTATAATGAAAATGTTTCAAAATTTAAAAAAAAAATCTGAAATCTGAAACACTTTTGGTTGACCCCAAGCATTTGGGATAAGGAATCTCCAACCTGTAATAAAATTGCATTTTTAACTGCTAAAGCTGATCTCCCTGTATCTACCCCTCCTCCCCTTATGGCCATTTTCTCTCAACCTAAATATATTTTACCATAGTAGCCAAAATGATCCCTTTGAGCAATAAGTCAAATTGTGTTACTACTCTGCTCTAAAACACCCAAAGGCTTTCCCAGTTATCAATGAATAAAAGTAGTGTAAAAAAATGTACTAGAACATTTTGAAGGGGAAAAGGGCAGACACTAAAAATTTAAGGAAATGAAAAATTAATTTCTACATCCATATACTTACCAATAAAATAACATGAATGGCATTCTAATCCTCTATGAACATGAAAAACGTATTTTTCAGTATCAAATCTAGTATGAAGCACCCAGTACACAGTTTTACAATAAAAGCAATCTCACTTACAAATTTTACCTTACTATTTCCTATCTAAAAGGAATTCTTTACATCAGCTTTGTATTGATTCAACATTAATCTAAGAATTAACATTATATCAGGTAAAATAAATACAAATATCATTATAACAACCTGTATATACCATTTTAAGGTGGAATATTCCAAAGTCTTTCCTAGAAGAACTCTGAATGCAACTATTGTAGGCAAATGTTTAGATTTTCCTATTTTAGCAATAAAACAAAACAGTGGAAAGTAATAGGTATGTAGAGCAGGGACTGAGTGGTTATAACGACTGCAGGCAGGGGCAATGGAAATGAACCACCTTTCAGAAATCACATGTAAAGCTGTAATTTAAATCGTCTCTGAATATTGAAAACTCTTTAGACTTTCTTTAATATCTGATATATGCATACCAACTATCAATGCTAGATTTTTAAAATATTGACTTCACATGTAACTAACAGCAGGAAAATAAATCTCTGGTTTTAATTAAGTTGAATCTGTCTGAGTAGGCCATCTATAAAAGGATCAGAAACTTGTAGAGTAACTTACTTTTCTTTCTTTGGTTTGGTATTGATATCTCCTAGGACCATAATGTCAGAAAAGTCTATTCGGAACTTGCTAAGCAAAGTAGCCATCCTACAACAAAAATAAATAGAATTAAGATACAAGTATTTTCATTCTATATTGGGCTGAATCCATATATCTGAAAAGCATAATTTATAGAAAAAGTCAGTCTATCATGTGCTAAACAATGTCCATTTGAATTAATTCACACCATTCATTCACAAAGCAGACTTAAATTCACTGAGTACTTTACTTTCTGAGTAATCAATCACTGAGTATTTTACTTTCTCTGTATCTCTCCTTAGTACTGAGTAATGGACAAAGAGACATTAATAATTAAATTTAAATGGCAGCTAATGTTTCTTAAGTTTAGTCAAACTATATTGATAAGTACATAAATTTCAATAAAAACTAGTAGACAAATATTTATTTTTGGATTATTCTTCCATCCAAGAAGAATGCTTATCTCAGGGCCCAAATATGACCTGTGGGCCATACTGAAGATATAGTTGATGGCAGATTAAGTTCATAGCATTTTGGGGGAGGAGGGAACTGGAACAGGACATAGAAAAGGAGCATCAACAAGCCTGATTTTTCAGTAAATACCTTTCTGAAGGCATAGCTGGCAATGAAACATTGGTGGCAACAATAGAACAGTTGAAGTGCACATATATACAAAAAAAATGCAATTTTATTTGTAATGAAAATGTTTTTAAATTGAGATATGAGAAAAAAGATTTGCTACAGGTTTGATTATTAAATTTATTATTAGCATTTCTTGCATAATTCACTATTTGAAATGAATAAACACCTAGTTGAATTCCAGGACCTATCAATTAAGTGCCTACTATAAAACATGCTAAACATAACAGGGCCCACAAAACTTAAATAAGAAAATAAATGTAATACCTGCCAGAATGTGATGAGTGGTAGGTATAAAGTACATTGTGATTCTGGAAAGAAACATAACAACTAGATCTGGGGGTAAGGCGGGGGAAACAGGAAAGGCACTATGGAGAACTGAGCTAGGTTTTAAAGAGTGCAGTATTTAAAGAGATAAAAGGAGAGGCAAGTGAAGAGCTATTTACAGTAGAGAGATGAGAGTAGGCAAAGGAGTAAAAGCCTGAAGTCACATGCATGCTTAGAGCATATGGAAAAGTGTACTGAAGTATAAGGCATACTGGGGGAAACAGAAGAACAGAAAGGGAATGAGAGGACAGACTGTCAAGGGCCTTGACTGCTACATTATAACAATTAGATTTTCTATGGCAGGTAGCAGGAAAGTCGTGAAAGTATTTTGGGTAGAGGAATTATATGGTCAAAACTCTGCTTTCTGAAAAATAAAACTGGGTTTCAATGCTTCTAAATACCCATGTCTTTGATCCATAATGTGTACAATATACACATTAATTAGGTTGAAGATTATGCACATTATGTAGTCTGTACAATATACATCTTACAGGTCAAAGACAAAACGAGTACTTACAGAGCAGGAGAGAAATACTGAAACAAGAACTATAATTGTGACAGTATATTCGGAAAGAATCGGATGAATGACAATGGCATCCTGCATTTTGTTGTCTAGAGTCTACAACAAAATGTATCCCATATACAAATAGGTAATGTTTGTGCACTTTCTCCCCTGATTAAAAGAAAAATGTTGCTTAGCACTTTAAAGTTACAAGTATTTAAGAAGGACATTCTAAAATGCTAATATGTTAAAAAAAAATTACATCTAAGTAAAATTAAGTATCTACTAGTTAAACATGAAGACTACAAGGTTATATTCAAAATTTTTAACTTCAGTAAAGAACAAAGCAAGATAACAGACATTTTCTGGATTGTCTAATTTTTATCCTATCAAATTTATACCATAGCAATGAAGTGCTACTAGATGCATGCCCTTCAATGTGAAATAAACTTACGCTCTCCGGTCATGGTCTATTCTGTTTATTTTTCCACCAATGAATACTCTGATCTTACAATCTTTCCATTTTTTCTTGGTAGTCAGAAGGTAAGGTATCAATAAGGTCAAACCTGAATTATAAAAATATAATGAATCATTTACTAAATGCTAATTTCTTAATCAGGAACATCAATTTAGCCTCGAAAAACATGTCTACTACAACACCATATAAAACAAAAATATTATTTCTGTCCTTCCTTGATAATTCAGTCAAAAAGCCATTAGCAGACCTGAGAAAGAAAGGACTCCTAATGGAGTCTGATCCCATTCAAGGAAGGTAGCCAAATGGGATAGTGTATTTATTGACCTTAGCAGGAGCCATGTTTAACAATGAAGTTAGAAATATGAAAAGGTAGAAGCTGGACTGAAATTGGTTTTTGATCTCCATTTATATCTCCACACACACATATACAAGGAGTTCCTGGCTCTGTCCATCGAGAAGGCCTGGGAGCAGTGACACTCTAGTAGACACAAGCATATCCAATGCCCTGATCTTTGTTACTAAACACTGTTATTCAGTAAAAGGAACCAGCATTCCTTGGATAAAGGGTTACTTTCACGGCTATGAAGAGAAAAGTGTAAAACAATAAAACTGAGCCTGGAACATCTTCTTGTGTTGGAAAATAACTCAAAAGAATGACTGGGACATGATAAATGGAAAGAAATCAGCCTAAGGAGGACTGTGCTGGCGAAATATGGGACAATTGGAACATCAAAACAAACGAAAGTAACAAATTATATTCTGGCATAGTTTGGATATCAGCCCCTACTGAAATCTCATAGTGAACTGTAATTAATCCCCAGTGCTGGAGGTGGAGCTTAGTGAGAGGTGTTTGGATCATGGGGGTTGGTTCCTCAAGGTTTGGTGCTTGTCTTTGTGATAGTTCTCATGAGATCGGGACATTTAAAAGTGTGTGGCATCTCTGTCTCCTGTGTCTCTCTCACTCCTGCTTTCATCATGTGTTGTGCCTGTTCCTGCTTTGCCTTCTGCTGTAAGTAAAAGCTCCCTGAGGCTTCTCCAGAAGCTGAGTGATGTCAGGACCATGCTTGTGTGGCCTGCAGAATCGTCAGCAAATTAAACCTCTTTTCTTTACAAACTACCCAGTCTCAGGTATTTCTTCAAAGCAACACAAGAACAGTCTAACACATATCCTACTGAATATCAATAAAATAGGAATTGATGAGTCCACACTGACAGAAATAAAGAGAAAGCTCTTCCTTACAATAAAATGACAACTAATAAATGAGGAAGAAATGATGGAACAGGAACATCATCATTTGGCAACCACAACAATAACAACAATAAACATCAATGGATGCTAAAGATAGTGGCGAAGGCTGCAAGAATAGTGTATTTACATAGTCTCAGAGTAATTCCTCTGTGCCATCCCCAATACCTGTAATTATAAATGTGGGGGGGGGGGAGGATAACTTTTCAGTGAATAAACGTGGTAAAAACCATATATTACTCAATGGTTAATTTCATCAGTGACGGGACAAATCAACATCCTGTGCCACCTGATGAGATGTAGACAGAAGAGCACAGCATCACTTCTGTAATATTTCTGCCAAAGATAGACAACCTAAAAACTAATTAAATAAAACATAAAAATAGCCCTTCAAATTGGGTGACAGTCAACAAAACAGTTCATAATATTAAAAGTTAAGGTCATGAAGCTCAAGGAAATACTACTGAACAACCTCCGCATTAGGGATACTGAAAAGACCAAACTGCTAAATGCTGTGCCTGATTCTGAAATGAATCCTTTTGCTTTTGGGAATGCTGGCAAAATTTGAATGGGGTCCACGGGTAAAGAGTGCCTGCCATTTCTTACTATTTTCACAATTTTACTAAATTTAAAATCATTTTTTAAAAAATTAACAACCTTACCTCCATCATCAAAAAGCCACCAGACATCAATAGTATTCTTTCCTTGTTTTTTCTGAAACTGTGTACTAGCTTCAAGAAGCTTTTGGTCAGCTACATTTAAAGGCACAATAGGGCCTTTGGATTCTACAGGATTAAGCAAAAAATAAAATGTAAGCAAAGTAAATATTAAAGTCCCTTTTGCTGAATTCCTATCGTTTCCTGATTTTTTTATATTCAGATGTTTATACTACAGACAATTCAGACAACTGTATATGGCATCTACCATAAGCTTTCAGTTGTTTATAATAAAAGTTTACTTTATAAATGGCTAGAGAGAAATAACTCTTTACAATAGCTAAACCAATCCAAATTATCTGCCTAATTACTAATATTTTCAAGCATTCTGAATGAATGTAAGAGAATCATAAATAACAGTCAAAAAATTATACTGAGCTGCTAGATTTTGTGTTTTGAAAAGCTGTTTTAGTCAAACTGGACAAATCAAGTTTATATCTGTTCTGTGAAACTATTTCTTTGGTAATCTGGTATCTCAATAATTTAAAGCTCACAATTTTTTAAAAGACAAAGTTGTTATCTGTAATAAAAATGAAAGATGGGAGTTGAAGACATACTAACACATTCTTACAATGATCACAGTGAAACCTTAGTCTAAAGAAAGACTTCTAATTTTTACCTATGTTTTGTCCCCAATAGGTGGAACCCAATTCTAAAGCCATATAACCACCGCATCTTTCTCTGAACCACAGAAAGATGGTGGGAGCTCCTTGGAAGGGCACCCATCTGCTGCAGGCCTGAGAACAGTACACCAAGGAGTTCCCATTTATATTCCCAGGAGTTAAAACAAAACAAAATGAAACAAAAAACAGCATTGATTCCGTGAGCAAGCAAATGACTACCATGAAACTCCTACACCAAAATTTTAAAAGCAAAAATCCATATGAGGACATCTGATTACTTCTGCAGAATGTCACTTTTCATGCTGCTGTGATATATGCAAACATGACAAATGATTTTGCACGATGAAATAATATGGCTACCAAACCACACTGCTCCATAACTCTCACCTCTATCTCCTTCTCATAAAATTCATGTATGTTGACATGACTGTGTATCTCCCAAACGCAGCACGACTGTGAGAAATATTGTAATTTTTGAAATGAAAAATACATTAGTATCAAAATTGAGGACTTGGCTGGGTACAACTGATGGTAAAGAATGCAAGTGACACTGCAAATAAAACCTGTTTCAGTGTCCCTACTTATCATCTAAACCATGCAGTTTAAATTAAAAAAAAAATTAATACCGGCTGTCTGGGTCTGAATATTTCAGAAATGCTACGATGATTGAAAAGAATTTGTCTGTGATATAACTCCATTTCCTGGGAAGGCTTACCTCTTTAGACTAATAATACTTTTTCTAATCTGCATTCACAGAACTGTAACATTACCTCACCATGAAAATAAAAACCAAGGTTAAAAAAAAAAGAAGGGAATAAGGCTGGAGTTAAAGAGTTTACAGTATGAAAAAGGGATTAAAATAAAATGATGAAAAATGCCTGCCTTTTTTCAACAGTGGTTGAGTTGCAGTCTTGCCATCCTCTTCCTCAACTAGATTATGTTTAAAAAACACAAAAATATGTTAATTGCCTTTATATTAATAAAATAATAAAAATGCAACTAGAGCACATTTATAAACAAAATATAGTAGGAAGCAACAGTCCACTGAAAAATAAGACTGAAGATTAATATTTTCTGCACTGAGTGCTGAAGCTTCTAAAAAGCACACATATTTGAGACCCCTCCCCTACAGGATGACTAACACCTCTAATTTCTGTAAAATTATTTTTTAAATTTCAGCGTATTTTTAAAATTTTTACACTTTCATACTTGAGAAGATATTGAACTGTGGCTTATAAAGTATAAATGACATTAAACATTGATATTGCAGATAATAAATTTTAAACATGCCACTGCATCACTGTGCAAATAACTGAAGAGCAATTTTAGAAACATTTAATGGATATTTGTTGTTTGTAAAAAATTAATCACCACTTGAAATATTAAGAAATTTGATCAGAGAAAGAAGTATTTTTGCTTTATATAAAACGCCAGGTTATACAGCAGTGATTTTTCTCAAATATATAAATGTATATGTGTATGTATATATGTGTGCATATATTTATCCATTTATATTTAAAAATATCTACAAATATTTTTCTGGCATTAAAAATTTTCCTAATCTCATTCTGTTCCCTTAATATAAGCTTGTATTAAAATATTTGTTTACGGCATATAAAACTCCGGACTTAGGAGAGTATACTGCAATGGGCTCTGGAGTTAGACTGCAAGATTGCAATCTTCCCTCTACTCATTTTACTAGCTGAGTGAGCTTTCGTTACTGAACTTGCTTTTCTAAAGAGGTGTTAGTACCTACCTCTTAAGCTTGTTATACTAATGCAAGTATTAATGCACTGAGCTCTGGGCCTGGCAGAAAGTATTTAAAGGGTGTTCTTTACGACTCTTTGCATGATGTATGCTTCAATAACCAAGACAAACACAGCTAAATACTGTAGATTTATAATAACTACACAGTAATGTCTCTAATTCTGAAGACTTTAAAATGTATAAACTTTTCTATAATATCTATGCTGCTGACTTTGAGAATAACTGACAGAAAATAAACACAAAGCAAACGCTAATTTCTTAAACTTGTAATGGAAAAAGAATCAACTATATTTAATTTTATAGCATTCAATATTGTTCTTATAAAGCAGATATTTAATGGCATTTGTCTTTGATAATAAAAATTATAAATATAACTATGGATATGCTGCATTTGTTTAAAAGAGCTCAGAAATGTCAAGGAAATCTTGACATTTAACAATTATAAAGTAAGTTAAAGGCATTTAGATTTTTACAATAAAAAGGTAAGTAGAAATGTACTGACCCACTTTCCTGTTCTATAAAAATAATGATTTCATAAGATTGTAACATATATTAATTAGCTAATATATGGGTAACATCCACTATAATGTGGGTGCATGGAGTAGATGCTTGATATGTATTACTTCTTACCCTCCCATTAAACTTCACCTATTAATTCCCAACAGATTCTGTAGAAAAAGAATGTTTGAAGCAAAAGAAAAAAACAAAAAAGAGGAAATGAAAGAATGTATACTGCATACTAAAATAAATGCTGGAATATAAGAACAGTTATCAGAATCAGTTTATAGAATTTTGAGGAAAAACAAAATAAATTATAATCAAGCCAGCATAGAACCGAAAAGGAAAATGGGTGTGAACTAAACTTTACTAATACTCTAAGCCAACAAGGTAAATAAGAAGGAAAGAAATAAAAAGCAACATTACTGCTTCTAAACAATATAGAAGAGATAAACTGCACAAAGACATGATTGGTCCAAGGTTGTAATTTCAGAAAAAGAATGGGAAATACTTTGCAGGAATCAAAAGTATGTTATAGTCTGATGATTTACAGCGCAGATTTTTTTCTTGTTGCGTGTCAGCTAGGAATAGGACAGATGGAGATACTAGACCGAACAGAGGTAGGAGAGTGAGGGTGGGAGAGTAAGATTTGGAAGTCATCCTTCTTTTCTTCTCAAACATGACACACAGATTTGTGGATGAAATTATGTGAAAGTTTCATGAGTTTGTTACTTTAAAATTACCATGTTCTTTCCAAATTTAGATTTAACCTATGCTTCAAATTAAAATGTTTTATTTAAAGCAACTATAAATAAAAACACAGAGGCCATATTAGTAAATATCTGGCATGGTTTCTGTCTGATGATCTACTCTAGTACCTTACACAGCTAGTCATTTTGTAGCCATTTTTGAAAGCCATAAATTCTACCTGACCAGCAAGAAATGACCAGTACAAGTTTGAGAACAGGTTATTTTTATAAGATATATAATTAAAAATATTTCTCCCAAATTAAAACATTACTATTAATAAGACTTACTGTTTGAATGAAAATTACCTTTGTGTGTAACCGGTTTTTCACTGAGTGGTTTGGAAGTATCTAAATCGGATTTTTTACTATACTCCACACTTACTACCACATCCTTGGTGCCAGGTGATTTCTCTTGTGATGACAGTAATTCTTCTGTAGACACAAAATTATTTAAAATAGTATCTAAGTCATATTTTAACTGTTAAATAAGGCATTATGGTTTAGTAATAAAACTATTATGAAAAAATAAGTTTGTTATAAATGCCTTCTTATTTAAACAACTGTGATAATCTGTTTGAAATTACTATTTATTTAAATACGTAAACCACAACTAGGTTATAGGTTGAATATTCTGATCTGAAAATCTGAAACTTTTTACATACCTAACATGATGCTCAAAGGAAATGCTCAATGGAGCATTTCAGATTTTGGATTTCTGAACCAGAGATGCTCAAATGGTAAGTACCATGTAATGCAAACATTCCAAAATCAACCTCCTCCCTCCAAATTCTGAAACCCTTCACGTTCCAAGCATTTTGGATACAGATACATAAACTGTATTTGAATTACGAGCTAGAGAATTAGTAATGAGTACAATTCATAGAACAGTAGAATCTGGTAGACAGTAATACATAGTATGTCAATCAATTCTGCTCTCAAAATCAGTTACATAAAAAATGTAAAATGTAACAACTGTCCATAGATATGTAAGATGACAGACAATACTGAAAAATTATACCCACTACTATAAAACCAAGACCACTGAATACAGTCTTCCTAAGTTCATGGTGAAAGTACCATTTCTTCCTTTTAAAGTAGTTTTTCTTCATTTTCTCTTTTTGTCAGAGTTAGTAAAGATTTAACTTCCACCATACAAATATGTATCACAAAGACAAATATAAAACTGATAGTATGTCCATAATCCTCATCATTTATTTGTGTAAATGAAGAGAAACAAAAGAAACTACATGCCAGCACTATGCTAAGAGCTCACAGGCCTTAATCTCCTTTTTAATCTTAACAACCAACCTGTAAGGTAAATACATTTTAACAGATAAGGAAACTGAGGCTTGGAAGTCACCAAATTTGCCTAGGCTACAAAACATCTAACAGAAAAGGCTGAGATTTTTAAAGCAGATTTGCCTGACTCCAATGCCTATGCCCTTAATTCTATGCCCAAATTCCTGTTTTAAAACTTAACGATGAATAATAAGGTATTCAAAAACATTTCACAATGATTATAAATACATGAAAATACTTTTTAAAAGTTTCAATCACATTCAAACTTCAGTAAATGATAGAACTATATAATTTATTCATCAAACTGTGATATGTGAAAGGGAACACTACTATTTATGTTGAGTTAACAGGTATAAGGCACTCTAAACCTCAATTCTGGTAGAGCAAGAAGTAATTGAATAATTTGCCAAACCTACTCCAGATTGCTGAAAATGCATATTTGGTTACATGGATAAAGACCTCAAAGTGTTTCAAAACTGCAGACTGCCCTTAAAGGGGTAAAGAGAGGGAAGATTAAAACAATTTAAATACAGAAGCAGATACTTCTTAAGTATTTAGGCTTAGGGGTAATATGTTATATATGTAAATTTTCTTAAGCTTATAATTTCTTAAACTACCAGAAAATCTTCACAGAATATAAAAATCTTCACAGTTGGTTTTTTTTTTTTCCTGCTTTGTTTTGTTTTGAGACAGAGTCTTGCTCTTGTCGCCCAGGCTGGGGTGCAATGGAGCAATCTTGGCTCACTGTAGCCTCTGCCTCCTGGGTTCAAGCAATTCTCTGCCTCTGCTTCCCGAACATCTGGAATTACAAGCATGCCTGGCTAATTTTTGAATTTTTAGTAGAGACGTGGCTTCACCATGCTGGTCAGGCTGGTCTCAAACTTCTGATCTCTGGTCATCCACTCACCTCGACCTCCCAACATGCTGGGATTACAGGCATAGGCCATGGTGGCTGGCCATAGTTTTTATAAAGTTGGCAAAAGCAGTAATTATACCTTACTTAGGCTTTAATCTTCACTTCCAAAAATGCTTTAAAAGTTACACACTATATTATTTACACACTATTCCTGACATGTCAAAATTATACAGTAATGATGGGAGACAAGAAAAGTACATAGAAAGGGGGAACACATAGGGAGATGTCTGTAGTGACAGAACAGTTCTGTATCTTTATTGCAATGGTGGTTACACAAATGAACACATAGTAAGTGGCACACAACTACACAATCACACACAAGAGTTGTAAAACTGCTGAAATATGAAAAAGGTCCGTGGATTGTTCCAATGTCAATTTCCTGGCTTGGATACAGTACCTTAGGATAAGGCAAGATATTACCATTGGGGGAAACTAGATGAAGGGTACAGAGGACCTCTCTACTATTTTTTTGCAACTTCTTGTGAATCTATAAATATTTTTAAATTAAAAAATGATTTTTAAAAAAACATTCATTAGGTCTGCTGAAGATAGAAAACATTATGACAAAGTTTAGGCTTCTACTATCAATATGACTGTACAAAGCATAGTTTTATAAATATGAAAATGTCTAATGATTTAGTGGTCATTTAAAAATTTTTCCTCAGGCTATTTTACTTATGTCTTTAAAAAACCTGGCCAACAGACAAACCTAACTAATGTCTGCTTCTCTTAAGCTTATCCTTTGGATTGAATTTTATTCTCTCCAGTAATAATCACTAACCATCATCCAGGTTGGTACAAAGAGAAAACACAAACTTTAGTGGAGTCAAACAGATGTGATCTTAAAATGCCATATAATAAGTCCATGACACATAATTATTAAAAGTAATGAAGAGTTCGTGAGAATATAATTTTCTAACAAAGTAGTTTATTTTTTTTAAATAAGAAACTTATTTCAAGCAAAATTTACCTTGTCCTTGAAGATGAGATATATCCAGACCTTCTTTTAGGCGAATAACCACTACTCCATATTGTATGTCAAAGGCATCACTAAAAACAAACAAACAAACAAAAACAACAAAAAAAACACAAAAATTTGTGTTATCCTCTATAAAATAAAGATAATAGTAGATGATCTCTAAAATTACTTTCAGCTTTAAATGTCTGATTTTTAAAACATGCTTTGAAAATCACTAAATCACTTGTTGAGATATGTATGTTAGTTTCAAATCCCACAACATTCTCTTCTGTAATACCCTTGAAAACTACTTTTCAGATCTTTGCAGTACTGACATTATACCTACAGCAGTGGTTTAAAGCAGCAGCAGTATTTTTATCCTTCTGAGTTAAATTATAGAAAAACTACTTTCAGAATCCCGCTATATTTATATTTGGGCTTATACCATTAAAACCAAGAGAAATACATGAAGACACACACACAAAAACCTACATGCTACTGCGAATGATAGCAGGTTCCAGGATATGAAGAAATTCTTTTTGAAAAGACTGAGGGAATTTTAATACAATTTTTAAATTTTTACAAAACTGATTTGAACAGTGGTTCAAAGATTTTACATACATCTGCAAATACATATTTACCTCTCCCTTTTTTTTTTTTTTTTTTTTGAGACAGAGTCTCACTCAGTCACCCAGGCTGGAGTGCAGTGGCGTGATCTTGGCTCACTACAACCTCTGCCTCCCGTGTTCAAGCAACTGTTCTGCCTCAGCCTCCCAAGTAGATGGGAGTACAGATGCGTACCACCACGCCCGGCTAATTTTTGTATTTTTAGTAGAAATGGGGTTTCACCACATTGGCCAGATTCCTGACCTCGTGATCCACCTGCCTCATCCTCCCAAAGTGCTGGGATTACAGGCGTGATCCCTTTCATTTTTAAAAACACAATTGAGAGCATTCTATACACACAGAAAATACATTAAAATTTCAAACACAGCTTTAAAACCAGACTTAAACCCTGGAATCTCAGTTATGAGCATAAATCTTCATTTTAATCCAAGTTTTTCTCAAATCTACTGAATTAATTTTAAATTTTGACGCATCATGTTGTTCTCTGATAGTGGTAACAGGTTTAACTTTCATCTTTAATATTTTTCATTGCACAAGTAATAAGTATTCACTGTAGACATATTAAAAATGATATATTAAGATATAGCTGTATGAAATTAAAAAGGCTAAAATCCAATAAAATGGTCAAATTATTAATCTTACTGACAAATGGAAGAATGTGTTCAGGATATAATATATGGTTATAAAAGGTCTCTTGTTTTTAAATCATGGAGAGACAATCTGGCCACATTCCTAAGATGAGCTAACTAAAGTTAAAAAAGTCACTGGAGAAAGAAATTTAACAGGCAATATTAAATAGATGGATATATGATAGATGACACAGACAGGTAGATGCATGGATAGATGGATATGGTTTTTGAGAGAAGCAAAACAGAGTTTAAGGAATTAATTTAAGGAATTAATCTTTCTCAGCTGTATCTTGAAAGATCTCATTAATACTAGAGGACAAAATAACTACAGACATTTGAAAAATTGGTTAATCAATTAAATCAAAATCAATTTCTTTAAAGCTAGGGAATATAGCTCCCCAAGTTTACTGTGGATTAAAACGAATAAATGTTTTTGTTATAAGCTATAAAAATTGATTTGCAGCTTCAGATCTTATATACTACTAATAAAAACAACATATAAAGCATACCTAAATTGCACAAGGTATTTAAAAATCACAGCTAAAACATCAGTGGAAGTGCAACAAGATAAAGAATAAGCAGTGTCACTGCTTTGAAACTGCTATTAATTTACATGGTTCTAAAATCAGAAAGTGGTATTTCACCTATCCTTTAACTGCTGCCTGACGTACAGGAGTCATGTTCAGAGTAATATTCAACGTTCAGAACACTCACTCACTTTAATCCCTAGAAGGTCAGAGTCAGAAAGACCCCTTCCAGTGTTCCATTATGAGTAACTACACCTAATAACGTGACAGGTGTATGAAATAATTTGTAAAAAATGTCACTTTTTCTATTTTTTAGGATAATTACTTCATCTCACTGCTCTTAGGTCTTGAGAGAGAAAAAGCATAGCCCACAGCTCATGGGTTTCATGGCTCATGGACCACATTAATCTTTCTGTCCCTAATCCCTATACATACAGAATACAGAATTAGAAAGCCACAACGAGGTTTTGCTTACAAAAAAGTTAATAAAACCAAAGCTCAACAGTAGTGACAACATGCAACAAATCAGCAGAGTTTTAATTTTACAAAAAGCATTTAACAATTAGTTGGTAAATCTTGTTTACCATATATATTACTAATCCATATAAAGAGATCCTTTAAAAAGTAGAGTATGAGATCCAGCTGTTTCCTCAAAGACTTTTCAAATGTCACTAACAAAACCATCACATGTGAGACAGGCAAATATATGCGGTTATAGCCAAAGATACAACAGGAGTTTCAGCAAGGAAGTGACTCCAGTGAGAAAAAAGGGTGATCAGATCAAAATTCATAGAGAAAATAGGACTTAAACTTTAATCTTAAAGCTACTTTGTAAATAAAAGTGTTTTGTTTGTTTTAAAGGACAATTATAAGAAGTAGACAGTTTTATTTCATCAGTGCTTAGGATGAGAAAAAAAACTCCTCAAATCAAGTATGGCATAGTGGAGAGGGAATGCTTATCTTCAGTATAAACAAGATAAACAGGTTAGGAAAATCTTAGAATAGTAGGAAAACAAGTACTTTTCAAGATTAAGAAGAAAATCTGGCAAAAACAAACAAAAAAAAAGGTTTTATTCTTTTTGTTAAGTAACTCGGTTTCAAAAAGCATGTGGTAGATTACACTCAACAGACACATCCACAAAAATCCACAAACAGAAAACAACCAGAAAGACAAAGTAGCAAAAGAATAAAAAAGAACACACTAGACCAGGGGTCCCCAATCCCCGGGTCATGGACCAGTGGTGGGTGGGGTCATGGACCAGTGGTGGGTGGGGCCTGTTAGGAACTGGGCAGGCTACACAGCAGAAGGTGAGCCATGGGCAGGTGAGCATTACCACCTGAGGTACACCCCCTGTCAGATCAGCAGCGGCACCAGATTCTCAAAGGAGTGCAAACCCTATTATGAACTGCACATGTGAGGAATCTAAGCTGTGCGCTCCTTAGGAAAATTTAGTGCCTGATGATCCTCAATTGTCTCCCATCACCCCCAGATGGGACTATCTAGTTGCAGAAAAACAAGCTCAGGACTCCCACTGAGTCTACATTATGGTGAATAGGTAATAATAAAAGTCCACAATAAATGTAATGCGCTTGAATCATCCTGAAACCACAGCCCCCACCACTACCCATGTCTGTGGAAAATTCGTTTTCCATGAAACTGGTTCCTGGTGCCAGAAAGGTTGGGGACTGCTGCACTAGACAACCCAAAAAATGGAAGTTACAGTGAACTCAAACTTAACTCTTCAAGATGGTAGAAAAACAAAACATGTAAGTACATTTAAATAAAAGAAATGTAAATAACTTAATGAATGAACCAAATGATTAACTGCAAAATTTGTTTGGAAGGGGAACAAGCCTAAACAGGGATAAAATACCCTTCCTCAGCACATTATAATGACATAGTTTAGGAGGTGATGGGTCTAACATTCGGGAACTCTGCTCAGCAACAGCTGTAGGAATAGGAAAAAGTTTACAAACTTAAATGAGAAGCCAGAGTGTATACATATACATACATAGGTATGTGTGTATACATATATGCATGTATGTAAAGAGACATACAAAGATCAATAAAAAATTGTTAATAGATTATCAATTTAAAACCCAGATGATTTGTGTGATTCTTTTCGTTCTTATATTTCCATTAGAAGAGACGTGAGAAACAGGCTCCAAAAATTAGGGCAAGCTTTCAAAATTAACATTTTCTAAATGAACTACATTATTGAATTAAAAAGATACTTACTGAAATAAGTTTATATACATATCCACATCCCTCATATCTGCTTGCAACCAATCTTTCTTAAATCCAAGGACAAGTGTGTTTGGCTTCATACGACCAAGACCAGCAGCCTAAAATATAGGGTCAATATAACTTTACAGATATATTATTTTCAACAAAATATTTTCTGAAGTGATAAAACTGTCCTCCAAATTGACAGCTTCTATAGACACTCTTAGCAAAAATTCTTCAGCATTGCATATATGCATATTATAAATTATATACACTACACTGATATTACTTATAAGTAAACATACACAAAAATATAATTTAAAAATAAAATACTTGAAAAGTTCTAAATGTACATTTTTGTACTTTTATGATCTACCAAAATTTTCGTATTTTTTCTAAGAGAAATAGAATATAATTTTAAAAATTATAATACAGTGGTATTCTCGTTTATATATTTTGATAACAGCCATTAAAAACTACAAACAAAAGTCCAAATGAATGCAGTTCTGAATCACATCAATACTAAAATCTGAATTTGTCCTACCAATCATGCAAAAGTTTTTGCTGACATTTGGCTAATTTCCTTCCTCAGTTGTTCCATCAATTTTTCTTGCAACCTATTCAGGATTTGCAACTCAGTATGTTTAACAATAGGGAATCGGTTTTGGGGTCTCCCTTCAGCCCTTCCTGGATACCAAAATCTGCAAATGCTCAAGTCCCTTATATAAAATGGCATAGTATTTGCATATAACCTACACATATCCCCGCTTATTCTTTAAATCATCTCAAGATTACTCATAATAGCTAATACAATATAGTTATATTGTATTTTAAAATTTGTATTATTTTTATGGTTGTATTATTATTTTTTCAAATAATTTTAAGCCATGGTTGGTTGAATCTGTAGATGTAAACCTGCAGACACAGAGGGCCAAAGTATCCCCCAAAATCTACTCAATCTAAGATTTCTAAACACATCAGAAAATTCTGTTTCCAAGATTGTGTGCACACACGTTTTAGTACTTTATTGTAGAAAAAGAGGAATAAAAAAATTGTCATTTTAACCATTTTTAAATGTACAATTCAATAGTATTATATTCACAATGTTATATAATCAACACTACTATCTAGTTCTAAACATTTTTCATCACCCCAAACAGAAATTCTATAACCATCAAGTAATAATTACCCATCCCCTTCTCCCTCCAACCCTTGGTAATATCTACTTCTGTCTCTATGAATCTGCCTATTCTAGATATTGTATGAGTGAAATAACAGTATACGTCCTTGGCATAATGTCTTCAAGGTTAATTCATGTTATAGAACTTCGTTCCTTTATATGGCTGAATAATATTTCATATTACATACACACAACACACATACATACACACATACACCACATTTGTTTATCCATTCATCTCTTGGGAGACACTTTTATCTTTTGGCTATTGTGAACAACACCGCAATGAATATTTTTTATCTGTCCCTTTTGTTGCTCATGCTTTTGGTGTCATATCTAAGAATTGACTAACAAATCCAACGCCATGAAGTCTTATTGCTATGTTTTCTTCTAAGAGTTTTATGGGTTTTGCTCTCATGATTCATGTCACTGATTAAATTTTTATATATAGTGTGAGGTCACATAGGATTATTTGTGACATACTTATATCTTTTTTTTTTTTTTTTTTTTGAGACAGAGTCTCGCTCTGTCGCCCAGGCTGGACTGCAGTGGCCGGATCTCAGCTCACTGCAAGCTCCGCCTCCCGGGTTTACACCATTCTCCTGCCTCAGCCTCCTGAGCAGCTGGGACTACAGGCGCCCGCCACCTCGCCCGGCTATTTTTTTTTGTATTTTTTAGTAGAAACGGGGTTTCACTGGGTTAGCCAGGATGGTCTCGATCTCCTGACCTCGTGATCCGCCCGTCTCGGCCTCCCAAAGTGCTGGGATTACAGGCTTGAGCCACCGCGCCCGGCCACTTATATCATTTTTTAAAAAAATTAATTCAAATATTTATCAAGTGTTGACCTGCTACTTGGGATAATTAGGACAGAAGAAATATCCCTAAGTCTGTAAAGCTTACATCTGTTTTCAAAGTGTTCCATCCATGTACAGACTTCTTTCAAGAAGTAAATTTTCCCCCCATTCAATACTGAAAGCACCTTTGACTTGAAGAGGCAGACAAAAATATTCATTTTAGTTTTTTAAAACTATCTTAACCACACAGCATATTTTTAATTGGGGGCGGGGAAGGAATTGGGGAGTAAAAGAAAACCAAGAATATCTTCAGGTTGACAGCTTTTTAAAGAACTAAGCCATAAGATAACCAGTACCTTCTTAATGGTACAAAATACTGTCAGGTCACTCACAGAAATTTGTTACAATCCTGTAATAATTAAAAGGTTTTATTTTTATAAAGTTAACAGTAACATCTTGCTGTACTCTGTGTACTTATATTTTCAATTTTTTTATTGCAATAACTTTCCCTTGAATGACTGAAACTTCATAGGTATCATTCTCATCCCTAAATCCTTTGCAAATTCCAATCAAAGTAGCTATTCAGTCAGAGGTAATGTTTTCAGTGTCCAAATAACAATATGTTTATCAATGGAGTAATTTACTACCGAAAATATGTCTTCTCCAGAACACACTTCTTTACTATGTGATAGGAAAGGAGTTCTTCATGAATTACATAATTGAAACTTATTTAGCAAAATGCAGTCATTTGAAGCTTATTACACTAGTTTCAAACATTCCCACTGTGTTATTTCTTCAAATCTTTAGCAATGTTTTCTGTTCATCTTAAGTCAAAATTTGCTGACAAAAAAAAATGTATTTAGTTTTGCTATTTAAATATGAAGGTTTAAAACTGTGTTGATAATCAGGTGGCTATTGCCTTACAAAAATTTAAAGGGACAAGGAAATTACAAACATACAAAACAAGAAAATTAGCAGTGCTAATGTCCTTTGCTTAAAGAGGTCTTTAAGCAAGCTATTTAGTGATAAGATTGTCTCTTCCTTAAAATAGTGAAGTCTTAGGCTGGGCATGGATGCTCCCGTCTATAATCCAAGCACTGTGAGAGGCTGAGACAGGAGGATTGCTCAAGCTCAGAGTTCAAGACCAGGCTGAGCAACATGGTGAAACCTTATCTCTACAAAAACCAGTCAGGCATGGTAGTGCATGCCTATGGTCCCGGCTACTCAGGAGGCTGAGGTGGAAGGATCACTTGAGCCCAGGAGGTGGAGGCTGCAGTCAGCTATAGCTACTGCACTCCAGCCTGGGAGACAGAGTGAGACTCTGTCTCAAAAAAAAAAAAAAAAAAAAGTTTTGTTGTGGAAGCTGGATACTTACACGCAGGTTTAATGATAAATAGATGCTTAAGATTATAATTAGTAACTAGAAAGATGAGGGGACAGAGAAAAATTGAGGGTAAGTCCAGTAAAACAAATAACATCTAAAAACAGCAGCTCTACAACTACACTAAAAGTCACTGTACAAACAAATTAATGTAAAAAATTTTTTACAAAGGTAATAAACAACTAAAAGACATTTGACACTCTGTGTAACACGATTCCCAACAGTAGAAAGGAAAGAGAAATACTCTCAGCAGCAACTTACACTAAAAATTACAGTTACTAGTTCTACGGAGGCAACCGGCCCCTATTTGTAATGATATTTCATACAGTTCCTCAGACAGCTCTGCTAGAAAGTCAGTCTCCTAAGTATCTTTCTCAAAACAATACTCTTCTATTTATCCTAAAACTTTGCCCCACACTGATATAGTTGTCATGGCCCACTGCAGTAAATATATTAGGCGGATGAGAGTAATTTGGAGGATGAATTCTAGCTCCTGCCAAATTTACAAAAGAATCATTTATACCACTGAGACTTCCTAGAGCAGTGATTCTTAAAGTATAGTCCCTGAACCAAATTAGCAGTATCACCTCAAATTCTCTTGGAAGTGCAAACGCTGGGCCCTCACCCCAGATCTGATTAATTGTGGGGTGGGGTCTAACGATCTGTGTTTTAACAAGTCTACTAGATGATTCTGACGCATGCTGAAGTTTAACAACCACTGCTCTAAAGAAAAATTTTCATTTATTTCCTTCCTAAAATGTATTGCTTCTATAAATTGGTTATCAGAATGTTCCTATAAATTATATGAAGGAAACAAGATTTACCCACTAGAAATAACCATATGACTCAGTGTAGCATTCTACCTGAAATATTTCAATATTTCACATACAAAAAGGAATAAGTATAAAGTAATAAACACTCATGTATCTACCACCCCATTAAGAAACATCAGAAACACAGTAAAGCCTCCAATGTTCTTCACGTTCTCGTTGCATTTTTACTACGTTATTCTATCATTTAGGAATTCATACATATAAAATTTACTACTTTTTAAAATATTTAAATCTTCATATTGTTCCTATACTTTTTAAAACTTGCTATTTTTCCTAAGCACTGTTTCTGAGGTATATCCATGCTGATAGCTCCTCTTCACCACTGTATAGAATTCTACCATACATCTGTACTGTTTTCATTTCTGTGATTGCTGGTTGTTACTTCCAATTCTTTTTCACTATTACAAATGATGTTGCCATGAAGTTTCTTTTTCTTTTTTTTTTGAGACGCGGTCTCGCTCTGTCACCCAGACTGGAATGTGCTGTCATGATCTTGGCTCACTGCAACCTCTGTCTTGGGGGTTCAAGAGATTCTCTTGCCTCAGCCTCCCAGGTAGCTGAGATTACAGGTGTGTGCCACCACAACTGACTAAGTTTTGTATTTTTAATAGAGACAGGGTTTCACCATGTTGGCCAGGCTGGTCTTGAACTGCTGCCCTCAGGTGATCCACCTGTCTCAGCCTCCCAAAGTGCTGAGATTACAGGAGTGTGCCACTGCGCCCGGCCTGAAGTTTCATATAGCCTTCTTCACATGTGCAAAAGTTCCTGTGAGATGCACACCTAAGAACAGAGCGTCCTAGAATATTCAAACCCAATTTGCAGGACATTCTGCCAGGTTGCTTTCCTATTTTGGACAGCGTTGTTGTCCAATCTACATTACCACAGCACTTCAAAGATGTCCAGTTGCTCTATTTCAGGGGTGTCCAATCTTTTGGCTTCTCTGGGCCACACTGGAATAATTGTCTTGGGCCACACACAGAATACACTAACACTAATGATAGCTGAGGAGCTTAGAAAAAAAAAAATCACAAAAATAGCTCATAATATTTTAAGAAAATTTATGAATTTGGGTTAGGCCACATTCAAAGCCATCCTGGGCCACACGTAGTCCGCAGGTTGAACCAGCCTGCTCTATGCCACTTCTAACACTCTGTATTGGCAGACTTAATTTGGGGTCAGTCTAACGGATATGGAATAAGAGTATATTGTGCTTTTAATTTTTATTTCTGTCATTTAGTTTTCCTCTCTGTTCATATATTTTGCTTTTTTTTTTTTTTTTTGTTACTGACATAGTATTTCTGTCTGTATTCTGGACCATATCTTTTGTTGATTACATGTCAGGATCACTATCTTCCCGTGGTCTCTGCTTCCTTTTCTTATTTTCATGTTTTCTTTAGAATCTCAAAATTTTAAACTACAAAACTACTGAACTCAATTTTTGATGCCTCACTCTTCCCTAGCTCAAGGTCATAAAATCGTTTTAGAATTTTTTTCTATAAACAAAACAAATTGGCCTTTTAAATTTAGGTGTTTAATCCATCTGGAGGTATGTTTTGTGTGGTTTTCATAAGGATCCAGTCTTTTTTTTCACGTAAATAATGAATTATTCTGGCCCATGCTTTCAATAGCACCTCTGTCATGTATGTTAAGTTTCTGGTATTTTGTGGCATTCATCTAACTGTCTACTGCTATATTTTGTGCTGTTTCTTCTGTTTTGTGCCATTCATCTAACTGTCTATCACTATATTCAACACCACAATGTCTTAATTACTACAGTTTTTTGACAGGGCTTTCTTTCCTATCAAGCAAGCCTACCCTGTCCCTTCTTCCTGGATTGCCTTGGCTATTCTTAACCCTGTGCTTATCAAGTTCTAAGAAACACACAACAAAAAGAGATCAGAAGACAATACTCTGAGTCTCCCACCTCTACTTTAACAAAGTAGCTCCACGATTACACAGTTAACACAGAACAACACAATATTTCTACGGTCCCTTTAATTCTGAATTATACAAATCCTAGTAGTTTACTTTCAGTGTCTCATGCTCTACTGATTGAACTAGCCAGGCGACCCAAAGTGTTTACTTTAATAAAGACATAAAAAAAAGATTTATCATTTGTATTAATATGAAGAATGAAATCTATGAAATCTAGAATTAAAAAGTTTTTAAAAGCTTATACAAATCTAAAATGTAGGCATTTGAAAAGCATTAACAAAGTTACCTGCATCAAATACTGTGCACCTTCTCTCAAGTCATCTGCATGTACTGGAGCGTAAAATGCCTTCATTTTGTTCTTAATAAGCCATCGCTGATATTTGGCTTGATCGATGGACATCTCTTTCATGGCTTGTCTTCGAGGACCCTTTGAATAAAAATATTAATAATATATTTAATTAAAAAGTAAACTACTTCACATTTACATAAACCATTCATCCTGTTATACTGGCTTGAAACAGGTGACTAAATGTAGGGGCGGAAGAAGTATAATAACAGCATTTTATTTTCATGTAGTCTTTTTAATACGTAAGATTACAAAAAAGCAGAGTTGATGGAATAGCTAAGGCACAAGGACACCAGTAGAAAGAAGAAAAGAAACACAGACTTAAAAATAAATTAAGTTTCCATTCTAAGTAAATGAAAGAGGTTAGAAGCTATTGAAAATGAAGAGATTACACAGAGTAAAATAACCACCTTCTATTTTTCTACAGAAAGTTTCCCTAGCTTATTTTCGTTACTCCCAAATGTCTGTGTTATTAATTCTAACTTGAGAATATCACTGAAAATCAAAGTGAGCTATATAATATTAATGCATTTTTCTTCAAAATTCTGTTAAAGGATGAAATAACAGGAGAAACTAAATGAGCTTTGTTAACTCATAACTCTATTTTGATCCTTGTAAGCAATACACAAAATGTTTTATACACAAATATATAAAACAAAAATCTAAAAATAAGCTTAACACACCCTAAATGTAAGTAAGTAAAAATATAATTTACCTTTTGTAGTAGGGAAACTGTCTCATTTATAAACGTCTTATGCTCAAGCCTTGATTTAGCTGATCAGCTCAGAGACAAACTAGAAAACTCCACAAGTCCCAAGTGGGGTCAGTGTCTCCAAGAATCCTTCCACCACCCTAGACACACACACACACACACACACACACACACACACACACACACACACGCCCCTTGACTTTGCCACTGTATAAGCAGAACAACCAGCTGGGGATGAGACATGAGGTATACAACACACACTTCTAGAACCAAAGCAAGATGAAGAACAGAACTTGGGAGAGAAGCTAATTCAACAAATACACCTATTTCTTATGCAGCACAGGTAAGCCATCATCCAGTCTGTTCTTAATAAGCACAATGCCAAAAAACTGAAAACTACTTTCGGATTGAAAAAGGTTCATCATTTTTAATAGTTCTCTTCTGGCTAAAACAAAAAAGAATTGGCAACTAAGTGTTTGAACTTAGAAATTCAGCATTCATTTTGCTCTTCTTACATACCAGAGATACTACTTCCCCCTGGAGATATTTATCACAATTTGCCTATTTTTTCCAACCCCCATTTTTTTTCTGTTAAGTAAATGTTCCCAAGTGTTCTTGGGACTTTATAAAACACACACACACACATACACACACACACAAGTTCTGCAATACATGTGCAGAATGTGCAAGTTTGTTACATAGGTATATACATGCCATGGTGGTTTGCTGCACCCATCAACCTGTCATCTACATTAGGTATTTCCCCTAATGCTATCCCTCCCCAAGCACCCCCACCTCCCGACAGGTCCTGCTGTGTGATGTTCCCCTCCCTGTGTCCATGTGTTCTCACTGTTCAACTCCCATTTATGAGTGAGAACATGCAGTATTTGGTTTCCTGTTCTTGGGTTAGTTTGCTGAAAATGATGGTTTCCAGCTTCATCCATGTCCCTGGCAAAGGACATGACATGAACTCATCCTTTTTTATGGCTGCACAGTATTCCATGGTGTATATGTGCTACATTTTCTTTATCCAGTTTATCACTAATGGGCATTTGGGTTGGTTCCAAGTCTTTGCTGTTGTCAACAATGCCGCAGTAAACATACGTGTGCATGTGTCTTAATAGTAGAATGATTTATAATCCTTTGGGTATATACCCAGTAATGGGATTGCTGGCTCAAATGGTATTTCTGGTTCTAGATCCTCAAGGAATCGCCATGCTGTCTTCCACAATGATTGAACTAATTTGAACTCCCACTAACAATGTAAAAGCGTTCCTATTTCTCCACATCTTCTCCAGCATCTGTTGTTTCCTGACTTTTTAATGATCACCATTCTAACTGGCGTGAGATGGTATCTCATTGTGGTTTTGATTTGCATTTCTCTCTAATGAGATTTTTTTCATATGTTTGTTGGCCATATAAATGTCTTCTTTTGAAAAGTGTCTGTTCAGATAGATCCTTTGCCCACTTTTTGACGGGGTGGTTTTTTTCTTGTAAATTTAAGTTCCTTGTAGATTCTGGGTATTAGCCCTTTGTCAGTTGGGTAGATTGCAAAAATTTTCTTCCATTCTGTAGGCTGCCTGTTCACTCTGATGATAGTTTCTTTTGCTGTGCAGAAGCTCTTTACTTTAATAAGATCCCATTTATCAATTTTGGCTTTTGTTGCCATTGCTTTTGGTGTTTTAGTCATGAAGTCTTTGCCCATGCCTGTGTCCTGAATGGTACTGACTAGGTTTTCTTCTAGGGTTTTTATGGTTTTAGGTCTTACGTTTAAGTCTTTAATCCATCTTAATTTTTGTATAAGGTATGAGGAAGGGGCCCAGTTTCAGACATATTAATGAGAAAAATAACAGTGAATTTTGACTCCATAAGTATCAAAAAGCCAAACCACTCTATAAGGACAACACAGTTTGTTAAAATCTACTCATAATGAATAAGAGAAACAATGAGAGCTCAAAATTCAATATCTGTTCCAAAATGCTACTTCGAGACCATTTAGGGGCAAAAATATTTTGAAAAAAACAACTACCTGAAAAAAAAAACAGGTTTGCTTGTCAAATTATTTCCAATCTAGAAAGCCCTATAAATTACAAATTATATATAGCATGAAAAATTTTAGTATAAAAAAATTATTTCACACCTGTCAGAATGGCAATTATTAAGTCAAAAAAACAAAAAAACAAAAAAAACCCACAGATGCTGGTGAGGTTGCAGAGAAAAGAAAACACTTATACACTGTTGGTGGGAATGTAAATTATACTTCAGCCACTGTGGAAAACAGTTTGGCTTTCTCAAAGAGCTCAAAGCAGAACTATCATTTGACTCAGCAATCCCATTATTGGGCATATCTCCAAAGGAACATAAATTGTTTTACCATAAAGACACATTCATGTACATGTTCATCGCAGCACTATTCACAATAGCAAAGACATGGAATCACCCTAAATGCCCATCAATGGTAGACTGGATAAAGAAAATGTGGTACATATATACCATGGAATATTATGCAGCCATAAAAAAGAATGAGACCACTTCCTTTCCAGAAACATGGCTGCAGCTAGAAGCTATAATCCTAAGTAAACTAACACAGGAACACAAAACAAAATACCCCATGTTCACTCTTATAAATGGGAGTTAAACATTAAGTACATAAAGATACAAAGTAGGGAAAAACAGACACTGGGGGCTACTGGGTGGGAGGAGGGTGAGGATCAAAAAATTACCTACAGGGTGCTATGCTTATTACCTGGGTGACAAAACAATCTGTATACCAAACCCCTGTGTTTAGCTATATAACAAACCTGCACATGTATCCCTGAACCTAAAATAAAACTTTAAAAAACTTGAAAAAGAAAACAAAATTGATACTTACCATATGTACATGGCCACAGATCATCAAACCAACATTTTTTGTGAAATCATGAACAAGATGAAGTAAAGCTGGACGTGAGTTTGGAGCACCTGTCATAACAAGACACTGTGGCCTAATTGAAGATGAAAAGACAAACAAAATTAGATAAATTTGTGTTTCTGGCAACAAGAACATGATTTTAAGTTGTTTCTCTAAGAAGCTTTCTGTATTCAACTGTCCTTAAGACGCAAGCCACAGGATTCTCAAAAATAGTATTTTTAACCTGGACTTCTTGGTACATGAGAAATGCAGAAACAAAGTCTTGGAACAAACATCATGCCAAATGTCCCTCTAAAATAACAGGTAATATTATACACCAAGATTCTGGTAGGTATTACAGAAAGAAATTATCATGCTAGTTAAAAAAACACGTAACAATTTTTCATTTTCTGAAGGTGATAAATACTCTATTAATAATTCTTTCACAGAGTTTGCGAAACTTCCTGCAAGCACAGCTTTGCCTTCAAATATGTAACAATTTTTCATTTTCTAAAGGTAATAAATATTCTATTAATAATTCTTTCACAGAGTTTGCAAAACTTCCTGCAAGCACAGCTTTGCCTTCATGTACAAAACAGGTCACTTTCCTTCTCAGCTTGATCACTTCATAATTACTACTACTTCGTGGTATCAGCCCTCTCTAATCTAGCTTAACATTAATCACTGTTGTCACGTGAGTAAAATCACCTATGATGAAAAAAAGATTTCTACTTGAACTAGAAATTTTAATTCTAGCTATCAATGATGAAAGCCAAAACTGAATTTAATTGCCTTTGCAAATGTGAGACAGTGGCATGCCTTTCATATATTTGTAACTCTTGATTTTCACTGACTAGAAATGGAAATCACTGATATTTAATGAAAAAAATATACAGGTCTCCATTTGGTAGGTCCAAACAGGTTGGCAAAAATTCTTTAAGACAAGGATTTATATAATCAAAATAAACTATAACAGAAAGTGAACTGCAGACTACCATTTCTGACTTAAACATTAACTTTTAGAGGAGCCCTTAAAATGAGCATGCAAACCTAAATAACGACTTTTCAAAAAATACCATCTTACTTAGAATTTTAGCAAATGAGCTGGTAAAGCAATTCTGTCTGGGAGAGTTGCTTTGAGGCAGTCAAACATGAAATCATGCCCCAGGCTTTCTGAGCTTCAGCAAGTTACATAACTCCTTAGCCAGACAGCATATTTCCTAGTCTTCCTAGGAGCTACATGTGGCCCAATGACTAACTTATAGCCCGTAAGTATGTTCCTATTTCCAGGAAGCTGCGCTGCCTCCATACATTCTTCCCCCTTTCCAGAAAGCTAGACTATGGATGCGGTGATGACTCTGACCACACGAACAAAAACAACTAGGGAATGACAGACTGATAAGGAATGCGGGTCCTGAGTGACCAAAGTATAGCAAATCTGCTTACCTGCCATGAACCATCTGTCTACTTCTGGACTACCATGCGACACCAATGTCTCTCTTGTTTGAGCCACTGTATTTTTCAGTCTTTGTGTTACAGTGGTTTAACCCATACCCTAACTAACAGAATCTGTTATTGTGAGAAATTAACTTGTAGCCCCTACCTCTACTAAATAAAAAACCACAAAGATATAATTTGGTACAGTTTTATCATACCAAAAATGGTACAGTACAAAGTTTATTAGGGATGACTTTGAGTAACAGCAGCAGAGTGCACATCTGCCTTGATTTTGTCTCCTTTCTCAAAGCTCTCCATGACATAGAGATATTTTTTAAAGTCACAAACCACAAAAACATCTAGAGCACAAGTGCATTGAAATACTGAAAGCTAGAAAGCAACTGGAAGAAAAGTAAAGGATTTGACAAATCAGGAAAAAAACAAAATCTGAAAAGCACATGAGAAAGCTATGAAACTACCTGATTTTACATCTAAAAATCACCAAAATGCCTAGGAGTTAGGAACAGTAGGTCCCTCTGGACATGGCAGAACAGTGTGTCAAAGAAAGTAAAAGTTTACACAAGAGGTAACTAAATGGATCTAAATCATTTCCATCACTGTGATAGGTCACTGTCCCTGTCCCTTCCCAACCCTACTAAGCTGGGGCTTATTTGCTGGAGAGAGCCCCTGGTCTGGGAGTCACCAGCAACAGCTGGGGGCAGAAGTAAGCTACTTTTAATAGGAGAGTTTAAAGAACATGTATATACTGAACCCTGAAAGCTTTAAGCTTCTTTCTCCACTTGGCTCCCAGAACGCTCTACCTACAAGCAGAAGATTAAAAGATCTTTTCTGGAAAATCTAATCAGATCAAAAAGAAAGCCTTTCTTTCCAGGAAAGCCACATTAATCTACATTAAGGACTTCAACTGACAAGCTCCACTCACCAATGCCGAACTTCCCTGGCCAAGTATTAGAGATACTTCATTTCAGACAAGGCTAAATCCCAAAACCCAAATTAAAGAAACAGTAAACAGTAAGTCTTCACAAGGTGAAGACAACAAAAATCTTTCGGCAAGTTTGGTGAAGGTTAAGACGGTGATGAATATAGTTAAGTAAGAAGAAAAATTACTTTTGGGGAAACAAAAAAGCTATGTAGCAAAGAAAAAACAGTAATTTACTACATGGCTCAGCTGTTACAGCAGGTTTAAAAGTCTTAAAAATAGAAATACCAAATATGATATAATCAAAAGCATGATATAAAATGTACAGGGAGGATGGAGTATAAAGGTAAGGATGCATGCATGAGGTAGGCATATGTAGATGAAAGACATCAGTCAATAATACCCAAAATTAAAAATCAAAAAGTACAGTAGTCCCCCCTTATCTGCAGCTTTGTTTTCCATTGTTTCAGAATATAGAACATTCCATAAATACACAATTTATGTTTTAAATTATACATCATTCTGAGTAGTGTGGTGAAATTTCTCAACATCCGGCTCCATCTGGCCTGGGACATAAATTCTCCCTTTATCCAGCGTCTCCGTGCTACAGATACTACCTACCCAATATCTGTCCTGGTTATCAGATCAACTGTTGCATATCGCAGTGCCTGTGTTCAGGCAACTCTTTTTTACTTCATGATGCCCTCAAAGCACAAGAGTAGTGATGCTGGCAATTTGAATATGCCAAGAAAAACTGTAAAATGCTTCCTTTAAGTGAAAAGGTGAAAGTTCTTAGTAAGGAAAGAAAAAAAATCATATGCAGAGGTTACTAAAATCTACAGTAAGAAAATGAATCTTCTAACTGTGAAATTATAAGGAAGGAAAAATAAATTCATGCTAGTTTTGCTTCTGTACTTCAAACTGTAAGAGTTGCAGCTGTAATGTGCAATAAGGGCTTAGTTAAGATGGAAAAGGCACTAACTTTGTGGATAGGAGACATGAACAACAACCACAAAAAGGTGTTCTGACCCATGACAATGAAGTTGAGTACTCTCTGCAGTTCCAGCTATCCACTGAGGGTCCCGGAACATAACCCCTGTGGGTAACGGGACTACTGTGCAGCAACACAAGCATGATATTTATGAAGTAGGATATGAGGAGCAGGCAACTACTGATTTTCATGACAAACCTTGCAGACTAGCTTTTCCTCTTTACACAATATTCACGTATAATTCTTGTAAAAATTAAAAAGCCAAATTGGGCTAATTTTTTTTTTTTAGACAGGGTCTCGCTATTGCCCAGGCTAGCACGTAGTGGTGCAATCATGGCTTACTATAGCCTAGACACTTCTAGACTCAAGCGATCCCGCAGCCTTGGTCTCCCGACCACAGGTATGCACTATCATACTTGGCTATTTTTTAAATTTTTGGTAAAGACAAGATCTCACTATGTTGCCTAGCCTGGTCTGAAATTGCTGGTCTCCAACTCCTAAGCTCAAGTGATCCTTCTACCTCAGGCTCCCCAAGTGATGGGACTGCAGGCATGAGCCACCATGCCCAAAAATAATTTTTTTTAATGTTGCCTTTACTACAATGAGCCAAAGCAATAGGTTTTGTGTTTGTTTGTTTTTTAAATTAATGGCAAATAAACATAGACTCTTGGTCATACTCTCAGTTCTAGGATACAACTTTTTACATAAAAAGAGTAATTTCTATTTTCTGTTATCTTTGACATCACTATCCAAAATATGCTGAAGTGAAAAGTTTTCCTCCCAGGGCTCTCATTCCTTCTTCTCCATTTCTGTCTACACTAAAGCTGAAGACCTGCGTGTGGTCTCTGAGAACTTTTTATTCTAGCAAAAGGAAGAGGGGAATTCGAAAAAGTAACAAAAAAATAAACAATTACTTTGACTGGGAGGGAGACTGGGTAGAGCAATTCTCTTTTGACACTTATCTATGTTTCAGCGTTTCTTTAAACATAGGAAAGATTTGTGTTTATCATGCAGAAGCCAATAAGGAGGGATTACTCATGACTAAAGAAAGTTTATACTGAGGGTTAATAAACTATTAGAAAGATAATATAATCTTCTTTTGTTTTTTTTGGAGACGGAGTCTCACTCTGTTGCCCAGGCTGGAGTGCAGTGGCATGATCTTGGCTCACTGCAACTTCCGCCTCCTGGGTTCAAGCCATTCTCCTGCCTCAGCCTCCCAAGTAGCTGGGACTACAGACATGCGCCACCATGCCTGGCTAATTTTTTTATTTTTAGTAGAGACAGGGTTTTACCATGTTGGCCAGGCTAGTCTCGAACTCTTGACCTCAAGTGATCCCCCAGCCTCAGCCTCCCAAAGTGCTGGGATTACAGGCATGAGCCACCGTGCCCATCCAAAAAGGTAATATATTCTTAAAGTCATTTACTGAGGAAAATAGTAATAAATGCTCTTTAGTGTAAGCACTGATTCTTTGTCACTATAAGTTACTTCCAGTTAATCACTGATAAGACACAACTAACAATTTTAGTGTGTTGGTAATGTACAAAATAAGGCATGTCAAAAAATCTTTATGAATCTCATACAGTTACATAACTTTAATGGCCATGGAGAAAATAAAACTTTGACTTTATGATACGCATCATTTAAAAGTCTTCAAGTGAGAAAACTCCAAAACCCTCATAACATTTTTGTTAATTTTTCTCTTTGTACAATTTTGTTCTTGAATAATTAAACTGCCCAAGTCCCATTAAAAATGTGAAATGCACATGAAAATGTCACTGAAAAATAAGAACTGACTGGCCAGCAAAAAGAAAATGCTTTCATGTTTCCTTCTTTATCACATACCTAAAGTTTTTCACGTGGTCTTCCACTCCAGAAAGACGAATTGAATGCTGCAGTGCATTCAGGTAAGTCAGGGCTTGTGTAGAGGATCCCCAATTCACATCTGTGGGAAGATAATGTTCATGCAGCATTAATATCAGTAATAACAACCAATAAATAGCGAATCTGAGGCACAGAGAATTAAACATGCTTTCACATTTAAAAAGTCAATTGCTGAAATACACTATTGTACTTTCAATAGTTCACATATACAGCAAGATATTAAGACTGATAATCTGAACTATAATTCATTTAAAGTATAATTTAGAAAAGATAGATAGGGCTGCAGACATGCTGTGCATACAACTCTAAAAGAGTTTTACAAATAAATATGTTAAAATTATTGTTTGTATAGCCAAAGGTCTAAAGGGAAATGAGCAAATTTGTAATTGTTAAGAAACACTTGTTTATAGTACTTAACTGGGTTATTTGAACAGGAAAATTTTATTTCTTACTGAATAAACAACTTGGACTTCAAATGATTTAGACATTTGTTAATTTATAGACTTAATAGGTACGTTAGAGAAATAATTTCTTCTAAAATGGTTTATTTCATTTCTGGAGCTACCACTTTAATCTAAAAGCTCATCATTTCATATCTGGATTACAAAATGTATTCTTATTGAAACTAATCTTATGTAATCTCTTCCCAATCTATTCTATTAAGCCCAAATGAAGACTTTCTCATCAGGTCTTTCTTGTGTCACAGGTTATAATGCTCAATACTGGGACCAATCCTAACATACTCTAGCATCATCATCTTACTGGGAGATACATTTAGCTGTTATCAATATGACATACTAGGAAATCACTAATCATTGCCCAGTTAAAACAAGTTTGTCCAATTTCCCCTGCTACATAGTATCCTAGTGGGAAAGACACTATGTCTTCCAATATTTTGTTAACTCCGTGTTATTCAATACAGTTCTAAGACCACAGTAGGTTTTATATATATAGATAGCCTAGCTTATTAGGCTACATAGCTACTACAGTACTGTAACTGGATCCTTTCAAAAAATAATTTTAAAATATAGTGAGTGCAGCAAAATGTTAATTATATGCATTTATTATTTTTCTACAAATAGGATCAATTTAATTTATGAGTAAGAATGGAAACCGTAAGAATAAAAAATCTCGAAGTAACTGTTTTATTAAAACTACATGTATTTGAAAAAAATAAAACTTTAAAGAGTTTGGAAATAAAGTATTTTAGGTTTTATACAAAGTAGCTTTCAAATATACAAAAGATGATGCTTAAAATGAAAAATAACAAAGAACTTCTAGATGTTTTCTAGCTTGGGATACAAACAAAAAAGTCTACTAACCTGGTTTTTTGTAGGTAACATAAATATACAGCCCAAGGACTATCACATATGTTAGCAGTGCAGCCCACCAGTTAATGACAAACATCACTATGCAACAAAGAATTGCTCCCAGAAGTGATATCCACATGTTGTAGTATTTGAATGCAGGACGCCATCCTAACAATAACAAATAAATAAAAGTCACGCAAATACTTCATCTGCTTTACATAATGGTACATATGTATTCAAAAAATAACATTCTTTAGCGCTGACACACTGAGAGGACTTTGAGCATTAAGTATAAGTCTAATACTGAAAAGTGAAGTCAAAGACTATTATTGATCACAATTGAATTTGACAATTCTTGATGACTATGAAAAGGTAATATCTATTTCCACATTACTGTATCCTACTAGTTCTGTATTCAATAAACCCTTCATTAAAAGAGTAAATCAACCTACCTTAGGTGAATGTTAAAAACTACAGAAGGTTTTAAAAAGAAAGGTTTCAAATTGAATCCTTAGTAGTAACTAGGCTTTATTTTCTGGTTCTAAGATGACTCATATCCATAGTCTAATGAATATATAAAACATTTCAAACAAAATGTTCATAAAAATCATTAAAAACATAATCAACTTGCTAGAAGAACTAAGAGCTGACTACAGAAACACCTACCTTCCCATTTAGTGAAGTATTTATGAAGGAAGCCCACTTTAAAAAATGTTGAAGACCACGTTTTTAAATTTTCATTGGTAAGTAGTTCCACAGGCAAAATTATTTTAAAAGATCATTTCAATAAAATTTATATATTTAAAGTAAAACCCTGATGCTAGAATGTTTGTGTTCAAAGTTCTCATACTTTATCTTCCCTGTCCTCAGACTTTCAAATCTTTAAAAGGAACAATGCTTTTGTTTCTTCAGTTCCTTTCCTGATTTGCAACGGTAGTCACAGTTTATAAGAAAAGTCTCATACATTTACAGTTGACAGAGACCCCTTATGTCAGAATTTTACAGAATTCACTATGTTAAAACCATTTTCTTACAGGTAACCTACATCAGAGTGATGTTCTTAGAACTAAAATAGAAATCAGCTAAAGATTGAAAAACTAGTTTTTTAAAAAGTAACAATTTTTCACAGTGTTATCAGAATTAGATTAATGCTAAACGCTTTGAAGACAAACAATATTATCAGTAAACTTACTGATAAAGAGATCTTTGAAGACTTAATTTGAATTAACTATAAAGGCAGACATGGCATTAATGAACTAATCCCACACATAATATCTTTTAAAATGTGGCAAAAGTTTTATTTTCTTTGAAATCAAAAATAGTATTTACAAACTTTTTTAAAAATGTAAAATTACCTGGAGATTTTGCAAGTGATGCATGGAATACTGAAAAATTGATCAATGCATACGATGCAAGGAAGAAGTTTGAGATAATTGGGGCAATAACATTCAGTTCAGCTGCAAAACAAACACGTGCAAGATTTACTGACGTATTAGACATTTAACTTTTTAAAATTATGAAGTATTTCAAATCTTTAGTTAACAACACAACACCCCATAACTACCATCCAGATTTCATAAACATTTAGATTTTGCCATATATGCCTCATATACTTAACTTTTCAGAAATCCAATCCTATGCAAACTATTGAATCCCCTTTATACTTTATCTCACACTTCTCCAAACTTGGTATATTCTGTCCAGTCATACATAGTTTTATGACATATATAGTCTATATGCATCATACAGTACTGTTCTGGGTGTTTTAAAAGTTATGTAAATAGCATACCATATGTATCATTCTGAAATTTGATCTTTTACATTTATTTTTGAAATTCATCCACATTGATATGTGAAAACCAAGTTTATTCCTCTAACTGCTGCATAGTTTTCTTCTATTGATCTAGGTTGCTTTCATTTTTCACTATAATGAATAATACTAGAAACATTATTGTATATGGCTCTTTAAGTATATATACAAGTTTCTACAGGGCACACACCTAGAAGGAAAACTGCTGATTACAGAAAAGTTTACGAGATATTGCCCACTTGTTCTCCAGAAGTGGTTACACCAAATACACATCTAATGGTGTCAGATGGGAGTTAGTTTCCACATAGTCCCACAACACTTGGTGGTACATCAGCCTTTTAATGTCAACTAGTCTCAGAGGTTAGACAAAATTCTTTAAACCTTAAAAAGTCCAATGTCGTCTTTAGCAGTGGAAGACCCAACAGAGCTCACTTGTGATCAGAGGCAGAGTGCCAAAAAAATAGATCACCAAAGGCACTGATGTCACAGGTGACACTGCAATCCTTTTCTTTATGCCATTATCATATTTGTTTTAGGAAAAAGAACCTAGGAATTCCCTTTAGGCTCTAATGAGGACTTAGTAATGGCAATAATTTCAGCAAATATGTACTGAGTGCTATTACTTACAGTACTTTATAAACTTTCTTTGATTACAAAGAGACTTAGTATACCAAGATAACGTTGTTAATAATTTAATAATTCAATGCCTAGAATATAGATGCACCAAAAATCTACAATAACACACCATTTATATAACTAACCAATTAAGATGAATCCAAGTGCAATTAAGAATGTTAAGATGTAGCCACGAAGAGGTTCATTATTTTTCCCATAACCTTTAGCAAACATCTGGAAAGCTGGGTAGATGTTGTCCTTACATAAAGCCTAATGAAAGAAAACATTAAAATGAAATATATTAAAATTAGATATATAGATTTACTGATAGTTCTAATAGGTTAATCAGGATTGAGACTCAAGTTTCTAATTCTCGGTCATCCCTTTTATCCTGTCCCACATACTGCTTCACCTACAAAATGTAAAGGAAATTCAAACATTTCAAACATCAGAAGGATGCTGGTCAAAATTTCTATCTGCCTTACCCTATCGCCATGTTGAAATTAAATTTTATGAAGAAGAAATCAGAGAAGCAGGCATACAAGTAAAAACAAAGTTGGAAGCTTGATAAATGATATAGTTGTGACCTATTTTAAGAAAAACAAGCCGATATCTTAAAGCAGATAAAAATCCTGACTATAAAACTTAACTATCTTTCTTAAAACATTGCTGAACACTGTCTTAAATGATATACTCATTGGCTATAAATACAGCATTAAGAACAAGACTGCAGAATCAACATTCATTTATTTGATTTAGCAATAAAAAGTACTTCCCATCAGTATTCAGCTGTTTAATGCTCACTAAAAGGAGATAATGTCTATCCTATACATCATTATACCCTCAAGTAATGAACACAATGTGTAGCACACGTTAGGTACTTAAATATTTGTAAAATAAAATATTTAGGTTGAAACCATACTAACCAGAACAAAGATATTTTGCTACACCCCATTTGCAGTCTTAGACTGCATTCCTATACCTTAGACATCATGAAAAAGTATGCTAAATATGTCAAAAAAGCAAACATCCAGCACTTCTAAAAAGAGAACTCAGACTATACCTTGACAGCAGGCAAATGCACAAATGTTTATATAAATAAACATATTCACGTTCATTCATACACATAAAATTATGTATGTCTTTATGTGCATATATATATCATGTATATGTATATACATGGTTGACAGAAGCAAATAAATTTGTAAACAGCAACAATTTCAAATTAAGAAGCATTACTTTAACTCTCCCTTTAATAAAGCCTGTAATATAAAAACGCTTACCTGAAATATTTTGGGAGCACTCACAAGGGATGCTAATGCTGAAGAAAGAGTGGCTGAAAAGATACCTGCAGAAATTAATGGTGTAAATCCTGACACCATACTCATTACCTTAAATAAAAGTGACAAAAATAGAAAAATAAATCTCACAATTCAGAAAATAGCACAATATTATGTGGTCACATTTTGAAGGAGGTTAACACTGGGGATAATTTTATAGTAATAACAACAACAATGCTATGTGCATTACAAATATCTGAAACAAATTTACCACTAGTCCTTACCTTAAGAAAACCTTTTCATTCATAAAATGTTAAACACACACAATGGCAGAGAGAAGAGAATAATGAACTGCTAACATTTATCACCTAATTTCAACAATGATCAACTTAGGGCCATTCCCCACAATATTTTGAAACAAGTCCCAGATATCCTTTAACATATAAATATTTCAGTATGTATCTCTAACAGATAAGGACTTTTGAAAACTTAACTATAATGCCAATGTCACAGCTTAAAAACTTAATAATTGCTTAACAGTACCACAAAAAGGCAAGTCGGCATTCAAATTCCCTAAATTACCCTTTCTTATCTTTCAAAAAGAGTCTGTTCAAATCAGGATCCAAAAAAAAAAAAAAAAAAAAAAAGGTTACACATTATATTATATTTGGTTTATGTGTCTCTTCAGTCTTTTTCAATCAACAGGTTCACATTTCCTTTTCCTTTTATTATTTTTCTATCATTTCTCTCATGGAGATCTCATGCTCTGGATTTTTTGGACTTCATCATCATTGTGTTGCTTAACAACTCTTCTCATTTCTATAATTCTAGTAAACTAGTTCCATCTAGACAGTTAATCAAAATGAGGTAAAAGTTTTGGCAAGAGTATTGCATAAGTGCCATCATGTACTTCTCATTAGGAAGGCTGTTTCTTATGTTAAGATAGTATTGTGGTTAGACTATTTTTTTCTAAGCCTTTATCTTTTAGAGCTAAATGTGGAAATATTTCCAGCTGAAGATATGATCTAAAGTCTAGGGTTTTGCTCTAAATAATCTGGGATAGGAGGAGTTACACAGGAAACAAAATTAACCATGCATTGATAACTGATAAAGCTGGGTATTATAGGTATTAGGTGTATTATATTGCTTTCTCTGTGTACATGTTCAAATATTTCCTCTTAGAAAACTTAAAAAAAATAAAAAATAAAAAACCACCAACAACAAAGGACTGATCACCAAGCTCATGAATCAGGTAAATTCAAACTGAGGGGCACAATTCAAAACAACCCGGTTCAAATGCTGAAAATGTCAATGTCATAAAGATTAATGTGAGCTAGAAACTCCCCTAGATTAAATGATTTTAAAATGACATGATAACTAAATACTATGCGTGATCCTAGATGAATCTTGGACTTAGAAAAAATACTATAAAGGACATTACTGGGACAAGTGGAAAAATATGAACATAGGATATATATTTAAATAACAGTCTTTCATCAATGTTTAATTTCTTAAGTAGGATAACCATATTGTGCTTACACAAAATGCATTAAATACTTCAAAATGATTGTCATGTCATGATGTCTATAACTTATTTGAGGAGAAAAAGACTATACATATACACATACAAAGCAAATAGGGTACAATATAAACTAGTAAATATAACTGAAGGATAAGTACACAGGTATTCACTGTGTACTTCTGAATCTGTGAAACTTGTCAAAACACAAAATTAAAGTGGAGGAGTTGTGTGGTGGATTCAACTATTGTCAACCTGAGCAGCTGTGAATGGTATTATAAATTTCCCAGCAGTGAATGGTGATCTTCACTCAGATTATTTGCTTCATTGGTAGAGATTTTATCTTTCATTTATATTGACTAAGAACATGTCAACTGAGACCAAAGAGATAAGGAAATCAGATTTTAAGCTGTTTCTGTCACACATTTGACTGTAAAATTTAATTGTTTAAACCAAACAGAAAGTTAGCAACGGGTACAATCCCTGTCCACAATGCATAAGCCTGATTTCATGTACACATAAACCACCCTGTTGACTAAACATCTTTCCCTAGATCTTCCATTAGATTTAAGGTTAAATATGAAGAATACATCTCTGAAGTGTTTTAAAGACAGTAGCACAGACTTCTAAGAGTGGGGAGAAAATCTGAAAAGATTATTTTCTACTCAGCCTTTTAATAACAATTTGATAGTTATATATATGCTGTGCATTTTTCATAGTCACTATTTTTCACAGTAATGCTGGATTACTTAGAACTGACAACCTTATCTTTAGGGAAGGAGACTGTGAAGGACAGATGAGTCAAGATTAAAATGAATAAACCCAGTTTCTGCTATACAGCCTCATTAGATCACACAAAATTCTGTATCTGTCGTAACGATCTCAAAGTTAAATTAAGTACAAAGAAAGACGTAATTGGACGAAAGTAGAGAAAGAGTATATGATACATTCTGCATTGTAGGAGTAAGACAAAACTGACACCACCAGCATTTCTATAGCCTTCTCTCTTCCATGTTGAGGAAATAATACATTTTCCCTTCTTCCATCAGTTATAAATTGAAATAAATTATGATCCAGACTTTTCATCTGGAAATACTATGTTTTGGGGCCTGCTATAATAGGTTTCCTGTTTTCTAGTAAATAGTTGAACAGTTACCCAATAACCTCTGCACTTCTCAACATGTAATGGTAAAATATCAGCAGCAAGGATAATAATATTGAATGTAAATAATATTAGTGTCAACGATATACAGTGGAAACAGATGAAAAAATGACCGTGTTGTCTCTAAAGGGGAAAAAAAGACAAAAGTCTAATAAAAGCTAAAAGATAGCAAGTAAACAAAATGAATGATAAAAGTCTGTGTGGGGGTGTGTGTTGAAGATGATTTGGGATTCAAGAAAATCTTCATGGAACTAAGTTGCCTTGAAGTCAGGTGGATCTGGACATGGAAAAATAAACCACAGGAGAATTCCAAGCAGAGTGAAGCAATGACTAAAGGAAGAGAGTAGGGTATGTATGTGTGCGTGTACAAATACACTCAGTGGCTGGAGTCCAGTGGGAACAGAAGGCAGTGAGGCTTAAGAAGAGGTATGAAGGGCTCTGACTGATTTAGACTAAAGCTCGCATTTTGTTTATTATGCAACAGTGAGTCAAAGGTTTCAGAGGACATTATAATGTAGAAATATAGCAAGCAATATAAGACTATATATACAATTTAAAATTTAAGAGCAACAAGATAACTCAAATAACTTTATTTCCTGAAGTATGAAAAGGTGATTATAAAGTATGACTTGTACAGATCTTATGATGGAGACTCCAACTTACATACTCCTCACTTATGTCCTATCCACCATTCTTCATTATCCAAATGCCAAGGTATTTATATTTTCACAAGATTTTCCCTCACGTTGTATCGCTTTACAAAGTATTTTTGAAAAGTTTACTTACTTTAAATTAGAAAAGCAGCTTTACTTATACCAAATTCCTCTTTGCTTGAATGAGTCCATACTAGACTTGATAAAGACAACAAACTTTTCTATCTTAAGGCCACACAGAAATCTGACTGGTATTTTCAGTCACTGGGCAAAGACCAACGTTTGTGCCTTCCATACACAATATCAATGTCAGAACTGGCCTGAATCATTAGCTGGATATGAATACTTTCTTTCATTCCTACAATTCTGCCTAGTCTCATGACTAGAAAACACAAACTTCTATCACATAATTGAGTTCAATATTTGTAACCACTGAAAGTAGAGTCAATTGCTTCAAACTACATAATAAAAAATAAAAACAATGCCTTTACAAATTTTAGTTAAAACTGTATTGTAAAATTTACAGATTGTACATAAAACACAGCATTTTAAATACATTAAAATCCAAATTATTCTGTTTATACAATACTGAAAAAAATTACAAAGCAAAATTTTTATTTTTCTTTGGAAATCAGGAGAACCATGTACTCTATGAATTTACAATAGAATATTTTGATTTAATCTCCTGAATCTACACCTTTGTGTTCTTTCTACCATCCTAGGACTTAACAAACAACTCAAAATTATCCTCCAAATTAATTGTAGTAATATATTTTCCCCTTATATAATCTTTTCTGTTTCTAAAAATGCATAAATCTGGCAGACTAAAATTTCATTTCAATTTCAGTATCTTAATAGAGGTAACAATAAACAGCAGAACTGACAGCCTCCAAATACTTGAGAAGTACTACTAAACTGTCCAGTTTGTATGTTTTAGAAATTCACTAGCTTTCAAGTATCCATTCAGAATTAAATTCTGTTGTTAAATGTTAAATGGTGATTTCATGCTGAATGACTTTATATGAGCCGTATCTAATAAAGTAACACTACTATTGACACTGATCAATGCTTTTATAAAGGCCATTTATATATAAAGCAATTATGAAGACTAATTAGAAAACTGAACTCAATTGGTATGGGTTTAAATTGCGCGAAATAAAAATATTTAGTTGTAAATTTAACAAAATACATACAGGATGCGTATGCTGAAAACGACAAAATGCTAACTAAAAAAAATCAAAGACAACACAAATAAATGGAGAGATGATGTTTATGAATTGAACACTCAACATAGTCAATTCTCTCCAAATTGATATACCAGTTTAATGTAAATTCCTATCAAAATCCCAACAAGACTTTTTAAAAATAAATGTAAGGTACTTGGGTGATAGGTGTGCCCAAATCTCAGACTCCATCACAACACAATTCATCCATGTAACCAGAAACCACATGTAACCCAAAAACTACTGAAGTGATTAAAAAAAATTAAAAAGTAAATAAATTAATTAAAACACACACACACACAATGTTATTTTAAATTTTTATATGGAAAGACAAACGAACTAAAATAGCTAAAACAATTTTTTTAGAAAGGCTAAAATGGGAGGAATTAATCTACCTGACCTCAAAACTTACCATTTAACTACAGTAATTAAGAATGTGTGGTACTGACACAAAGACAGACACAAAGATCAACAGAACAAAATCAAGAATCTAAAAACAGACCCACACAAATACGACCATGTGCAAGATGATTCCATGCTTTCTAAAGCAGTATATTTATATACTACATATATAAATACACACACACTCATATATATATGTTACATGCTGTTATAAAAACATTAACTTCCAGGGGTTCTTTGCTCTTGAACATCCTCAGATTTTATCCATTCATATTTTAGTTTGCCCAATTAGATATCTACAGTTTTAGGGGAATATAAAGAACAACTGGCCAGGCGCAGTGGCTCACACCTGCCATCCCAGCACTTTGGGAGGCCCAGGCAGGTGGATCACTTGACATCAGGAGTTCGAGACCAGCCTAGCCAACATGGTAAAACCCCATCCTTACTAAAAATACAAAAGTTAGCCGGGCGTGGTGGCGGGCGCCTGCAGTCCCAGCTACACGGGAGATTGAGGCGAGAGAATCGTTTGAACCTAGGAGGCGGAGGTTGCAGCAAGCCAAGCTAGCACCACTGTGCTACAGCCTGGGAGACAGAGCAAAACTCTATCTCAAGAAAAAAATTAAAAATTAAGAAAAATAAAATAACAACTGTCTTCCCTTCTATGCTATGGCTATATTGTGAATGGTCAGATTTGACAGTAGTCTCACCCCTAGATAAATACAGAACGTCTGTATATTACAAAGCCAATGCTCACCTGGAAGTTGTTCATTAGGCCATAGGAACAAGGACTGCTTTCACAAGATGAAAAATCAAAGTTTAATTTGCAGGCTGCAGAAGTACAGTTTGTTAACTCTGTGACAATAGTGTCATTAACGTTTCCAGTGGCATCTCGAACAACACAAGAACCTAAAGTTGTGACAACAAGACACAAGTGACAACAAGAATAATATACTTAATATCTACATTCATTTCAAAATTATACACATATATATTTATAAAGAAACCAAAGTATTGACTATATATCTACTCAATTATAATAGCATACATTGCATTTACAGTTAAGACTTTACCTGGAACAGAATTTGTAAAGCATCATGGTCCCCAATATTTGGTGAAACTGAATCTTTTATAAAGAATAGTATTTACACATAAACACTTAAAAATCATGTAAACAGAGTTGTGGAAAATGGTATATTAGCAAACTATTTCCTAGCCTATTTGGTAAAGATGTCCTTAAGTAAATATTAAAACATTGTACTGAAAGAGTTCCAAACAGCAGTGATGTTTTCCTATACTCCAAATATTCTATACTTGAACGTGGCTAAAAATCAGACTTCAGGTAATACCATTCTTCTGTGAGGGAAAATAATTTGAATATTAATGAATTATAATTATATTCAAATCTCTGTCTCAAATATGATTACCCTGAAAAGAAGAAAACACATGGTATCTAAGATTTGCTTAAAAATAACCCATAGAGCAGAGTGACTTGGAAATAGATGAAACGAGATTAAGCATGTACTAATATTTTTGCTAACTGTTTTGAAGCTGCATAATAATTATTGAGCTAATTTGAATATGCTCCCTACTCTTCCATAAAATTGAAAACTTCCATAATAAAATATTTAAAAAGTGACCTTGAAGCAAGCTTTACTATTCGGAGTAACGTGTAATGCATAACTAATGGTAATTACCGTTCCTTATACTTTAAAGATTTTTACTTTCTGAAGCACTTTTTCAGTATTATTTCATCATATATTGAGGTAAAAATTACATGCATGACAGCAAAAATTGAATAAACAGAACTAAGTATGAGAAGGGAGGATATTTTAATGACTAGGCAGACCATACAGTTCCTTGTTTTTCAATTTTTTCATCTACCATTCAGAACAGTCCTTGAAAAACCATGTTTCCATAAAGGTACCTCTGAAACAACTGGCAAATGAGGGGAGTACAGAGCCTTGCAAATCCCTCCAGCCCTAAAGTAACTGTATTTTCATGTACTTTGTATTCTGATAGTCTATGCCTGAAATTTTTTGGGGAAAAAAGGTTCCACTGCTTTGAGCTTAACAAGCACTGGTGTAGAGGCTGCCTTTACTGGCCTAGCTACTGAACATTGGCATCAAGGGGTTACTCCTATTGTTCCAAGGGCTAATGTAGACAGAATGAAATGCGTACAAGGGCTAGCAATGTTAGAGGGTAAAATAAAAATAGAAAATGTTCATTTGCTGTAACAAACTATTTTACAAGCTAAAACATAATCAATTAAGTCACTTTAAGACTAAATTTACTTTAAATAATGTATAGAAGCATGCTAGGAACTTTTAGGGGAACCCATATATTTTGCTAAGCATATATATTCATCTGTTTTTTCAAAATAAATTTCAGAGATTTGTCTATTAATTCTAAGGATAAATGAAATCCAAATTCCTTTGTAAATGCCAATTCAGCCTGGGCGTGGTGGCTCACGCCTGTAATCCCAGCACTTTGGGAGGTCAAGGTGGGTAGATCACCTGATGTCAGGAGTTGGAGACCAGCCTGGCCAACATGGTGAAACCCCATCTCTACTAAAAACACAAAAATTAGCCAGGTGTGGTGGCAAGTGCCTGTAATCCCAGCTACTCAGGAGGCTGAGGCACGAGAATTGCTTGAACCCGGGAGGCGGAGGTTGCAGTGAGCCAAGATCAAGCCACTGTACTCCAGCCTGGGCCAGAGAGAAAGACTCCATCTCAAAAAACAAAAAACAAAAAAACAAAAACAAAAGGCATTCAGCCCACCCTGATATTATTAGTATTTCTGTCATGTAGTGACATTTCCAAATTACATTTAAGCAACTAGAAGCAGAGTTTATAAATATAAATATGCTATTACTTCCCAGCATATCAGTGAAGATATAGCAAAAATGAAATTTTCTTACCAAATCCAATAGAAACCTCATATTGTGTAGCCTATGGACTTGGAGTTTATGATTCTTCACATTAGTATTAAACTAAGATTTACTTTTGCATTATGCTTAAGAAATTTAACTATAAAGCTTGACAAATGCAAACCATATGTAAACTAATAGAAATTCATAGAAAATAGCCTTAAAGACTTTATTTAAAACAAACAACAACAAAAGAAACTTCTTTGCCATAAAAACAAATCTCTAAAACAAATGCCACTATCTTTGGTAGTGAAATCTCTGAGCTTCTATTTTCTCATCTGTAAGAAAAGGTTTAGAGACTGGTTGACTACTTAAGTCCTTTCAAGTTCTAAAATACCATGATCCCATGAAGTAACAACATGGTTTTGAAATAATTTTCATTCAATCTAGTAAGAATTTAGTAAAACTTTTCCTAAGTAAAACCTAGTATGTCCTATTCTTCGAAACCAGTGTTTTTATAGTAAAAAATTGCCAAGCATTGCTTAATAGCCTTGAAAGAATCTTTATATACTATAAAAAAAATAAATAACCATCTTTTAAAAAGTTCAGAAATTTGTAGCAGTAAAATTCATTTGCTTCTACATATGAATTGTTTTCGATAAATATATCTCAGTGGAATGAGTTTACAGATTCAATTTCATATAATTTTCTAATTTATCATAATTAATTAAAAAACTGGAAATGTCATAAAGCATTTGGTGGTTTAGATAATGTTTATAAAAGTCATTATTAGTTTTCTAAAAACTGTTTTTGAATTATAATAAGCAATTCCATGTCTTTTTATTGAAATATTTCTGAATTTATAAGTTAGCAAATGTCATAAAAGTATTTATAGCATGTACATCATGAAATTTCTGTAACATAAAGAAATGTAAAACTATTTACCTACAGATACTGCAATTCCTACGTAAACCAATGTAGTAATTAAAATGGCTAGGAGTGTTCCTTTGGGTATGGCTGATTGAGGATCCTAGAAGACAAGAAGATTTTTAAAAGTCTATCTGTAAAAATAAATATACATATTCCACTTTTAAAATATATAATTGATATAGCACTTTAAAATACTTACTGCAAGATCACCTGAGATATTCGCTCCAGCCAGAATACCAGTTGCAGCAGGAAAAAAGATGGCAAATACAGAAAAGAAAGTCTCTTCCTCTCGAAAATCTGGCCCAAAGTTCTCATTAAATATTTCAGCTGTAGAAAACAAAATATTTTTGACAATTAATGGAAAGCAAATTAGACCACAATAATTGAGGTCAAGAGTAATAGGTATATATGACCCCTAACTTGTCTTCAGTTAAAGTAACTGGTAAATTTTTGCATATTTCCTAGTTCAAGTATTTGGTGTTCTTTTCTTGTATGAGACAATGGTTTACAACCAAAATGATCATCTGATCTGATTCATGCCCCATTTTTGTATACCTCACCAATTACATTTCAAGAGCCTCCGACTGAATTGTTACGACTAGCCCAAATGCAAATCAGAATGTGGATAATCTCCTAAATCTCTGAGGTAAAAGAAACAAGAAAGGAGGTAGAAAAACAAAAGGGGGCATGGTGTGGTGCCTCACACCTGTAATTTCAGTACGTGGGGAGGCCAAGACAGGCAGATTTCTTGAGCCTAACAGTTGGAGACCAGCCTCGGCAACAGAGGAAGACCTTGTCTCTATAAATAATTTAAAAATTAGCCAGGAGTGGTGGCACATGCCTGTGGTCCCAGCTACTTGGGAGGCTGGGGTGGGAGAATCATTTAAGCCTGGACAGTCGACATTGCAGTTACCCATGATCATGCCATTGCACTCCAGCCTGGGTGACAGAGTAAGACCCCATCTCAAGGAAAAAAAAAAAGGAAAACAAAAGCAACATCATAATAATATAGAATCAATTTTTTGATAGCTTCCCACTTACATTACCATCTGTAGAGATTTTGGTCCACAGCTTTCTCTACTATCCCGTGATCCATTGATTTTTGAGGCTGTCAGACAATTAGCTAAGGTACCCTAAATAAAGTTCCTTTTGATTTCAACAATAAAAGCTTCAACTAGACCTACTGTTTTCATCTATGACTCTAAGATAACCGATTAACTATAATGTATCCATCTATCCATTCAATACTTGAGTAGCTACCATGTGTCAGGTCCTGTACTAGAGCTTTCTAGCATCTCGAAGAACCTAGAGATGCAATATAAACAAGTTAGACATTGTTCCTGCCTTCATGGAATTTAAGAGTCTCAATAGCAAATGACAAAATAAGAAACAGGTAATTATAAACAGCAGTAAATATTCTGATGAAAACAGGGAGTTGAATAACAAAAGAGAGAGAGAGAGTCTAATTCAATGTGGTTACAAAAGGCTAAGCAAATATAAGGAAGGAAACAATACTTAAGCTAAGAGTTTGCTGAGCAAGAATCAGTCATGTGATGATCAGGGAAAAAGAGTACACCAGAAAAGAGAAACAACATGTATGAAGACCCCAAAGTAGAAAAAGGTTTAACTCTTTCGAGGAAATAAAAGAAGATAAAACTCTTACAGTAAGGGGAAGAAATAAATGAGAATGGAGTGACCACTGAGGGACAGAGTATGAATATTTTATAAAGGTTAAATTTATCCTAAATAAAATGGAAAATCAAGTAGGGTCATAAACACACAAATGACATATACTATTAATGTGTGGACAATGGACTGAAAGATTCAACATCTGAAACAGGGAGGCTGATTAGGAGGTTGCTGCAGAGGTTCAATCTAGAGATGGGAAAATAAATGCACTAATTAGAAAAGGATTAAAATTAATAGGAGCAGGTAGGACGGGAAACACTAAGATCCTGGTTTCAGTTACTTAGATGGAAAAGCTTAAGAAGAAATAAGCAGGAGAGACTTCAAATAATCAGTTGGATATATATTTATGTTTCAACTTCAAAGGAGAGATTCAGGAATAGAAACATGTCAGTTATCTTAATAGCATTTTGAGCCATGAGAATACACACCACCCAAGGAAGAGCATATAGTTAGAAGGTCAGCACTATAATAGTTGTACAATTCTGCATTTAAAGGGGGTAACAGGAGTAATAGTCATAGTGACTAGCAAGTTACACACCTAGGGTATCTGACATCGAATAAAATAGACGTGTTTCAAGAAGGAGAAGAAATGACTAAGAGAAATGAAGCAGAGGACAAAAAATTCACAGTAGATCTAGCACCATCTGACTTATTTTGACCAACAAAAGCCAGAAGTGAGAGGGGTTAAGGATGAAGCCATTTGGTAGAAGTTTGACAGGGCTATGAACAGTCTCAGAGTATTCTTCCACAGATCACTTATTAACTGCAAAGAAAAAAACAGCAACCTCACAATAGAGAAACTGTGCAGGTATAACCTTGACTAAGTCATCAAAACTAACACCACTAAGTAATGGAAAAAACTGCATCATGCACCCTCCAAATGTGGTACACTAAGAAGGAGACACGGTTCACTTATGTTCCTGACAAAAATGAATAACCTGAATCTATCTATAAAAACAAGTAAGACAAACCCAACTGGAGAGATCTCCTGAAAATCAAATGGCCTGCACTCTTGAAAAATGCAATTATACCAAGAAACTAATATTTCTAGTTGCTTTCACAATCTTAGGTGCTTCTAAACTATTGTGCTTAAATATGCTAAAAGAATGAAAGTCATATTAGAACAAAAGTTAGAAATTCAGTTACAAATTCCCAAAACTAGTAGAGAATAAAAGCTCCTATTCTTAGTAGCACTGATTTCTCTATATTCTATTGCCTTTTGTTGCTAATAATGAAAAAGAAAAGATGTAAATAGAAGTAATTTTTACTCCAACTGTACAGCATACATAAAGGGGACAAAACTAAATTGTAAATTAGGATGAATCACCAAACCATAGTCAATTCTGTTACAAAATATCTAAAATGTACAAAATTTAATTGATAATAGAATTCTATAAACAGGTACGCTTAAAAAATATTGAAACTTTTTTACTTACATTTATAACCAAAAAACCCTTTTGGCTTCTTGCTCTCCAGTGGGATAAATGTTCCTATGACAAAGTCACCAATAGCAAGAAGTAGGATCACCAAAAGAACAATCTGAGCCTGCAATTTTAAACATTAAAAATTAAAATCAAGAATCTTGTTTCTGTATCTTGATTCGATTCCCCTAGAATATAACTTCCATGAGGGAAAGAATTTCTGTCTTGTTTTGCCTGATTCCCCTGTGCCTTAAACAATGCCACATGCCAAGTAGCTGCTCAATAATTCCTTGTTTAATGAACAAAGAGATCTTTAAAGAAATATCTGGGGGAAAAAAAAAGATAGTAAAAGTGAGATCATGCTGTATTTCTGAAATGAGTTAAAGATGTGCATGCCTTCCCACAAACCAAAAAGCACTGTAAATTCCAAAACACTACAGACTTTCATTCTAGATCATTCCTCTCTTCCACCTTAACACTACAATCTTGACATAGAAAACATGCTGAACACAAACACAAGTTTTATAAATGGTCCAAACATAATGTTGAGTGTGTGACTGCTACAGGAAAATAAGAAAAAGTATAGAAAGAAGATGACAATATACAGGAGGGAAATTCAAGTAGCAATGGGAATGGAAGGAAAGAGCAATCTATGAAAACTACCATTTCCCCTTCTCCACTCTTAACCTCTCAATAAAACTGAACACTCATGAAAAACGGTGTCATCTGTGGGAAAAGGAAGTACATATACACTAATCATGTCCCAGGTGGTATAAAATTCTGTTATTTTCATACAGTAAATGTGTAAAATGTGTAAATAAATGATTTAATTTTATACTAATATGACTTTACAATAAAGTACAAGATTGAAAAAATTACTCTTTCAGGCTTTCCTAATTTTTGGTTTGGTAAACATTATCATATCATATATAGCACAAATATGTGACTTTTATAAGGTCTTTAAAGTAACGTGGATATCCATTACTTGGGAGACTACAGCTGTGCTATGATGCTCTAATTCTCAAAGAGACAAAAACACTTCTGGGTGCTCTGCTTATGGGTAATGTGACTTTAGCAATTTTTTCCAGAAACAATGATACTGGCTTTGGTAGTCATAACTTCTGAAATTTCAATAGCAAGAATAACTTCTTTAACCTCATGTGGGCAATAACTTTTACTTACTGCCCCATGTTTAAGTTGAACTTTTAAATAAATTACAAAGCCAGATGTTTAATTTGGAATTAAATACTGACCTGAGCATTTTTACATATTGCAAAACTGGAGAATGGGCGAGACGGTGGGAAATTCAAAATTTACAAAGTACTTTGTTTAACTAGATCCTAGGTTGAGTGTAATCTCCAAAGATTCTCTACTTTGTCAAGTAGAAAATAACCTTATATATAAACTTTTGTGAAAATGGCCACTTAGGTACCATTAGAATCTGGAAATATTATCATACGTTAGAGTGTTCCCAAAACATAAGCTCTAAAAGCTCACATATTAAATATTTATAGGTGTTCCCATCATAACTTACTTTTGCTTCCCACTCCATTCCAGCTACTGAGATACCTAAAAGAATCACCACTGTAATGGCTCCAATAATTCGGATATCATTGATTTCATCTATCATAAGTATGGAATGTTCCTAGAAAAAAGAATCATAAATATAATAAGCAATACTAGTTATTTTTATACACATTCACACTCCTTTTGAAACATTTTAGAGATATTATGGTGCCTTACCTGTAGAAGTTGAATAAATGGTTACTTAAGAAATAAATGGAAGACCTAAAGGAACAAATTACTATTTACCACTGAGGTGTCATTCAAGGATCTGATGACATAAATGTGTGATTACTAACACTTCTATATTTAATATAGACTCAACAAATCAAAAAAGGAATTGCTAACAAGTAAGAAAGTTATAATACTGCTAATTAGAATTTTAAGTTATATAGCACAAATATATTTTTTATTTATTGTGATTAGTGAGCTCATGCTTTTAATGGTCTTTTACACTGCAAGAGAGTAAGTGATGAGCACACCTTCCTGCTGCTGTCCAAAAACACACACCGTTTCCACTCTGCAAACAAAATTATTTGTAGTTTAATATCAATGGCATTTTTAAAAGATTCCCACCTAGGATAAAATTAAAGATTATGATATCCCACTTAACTAAGTAAAAAGCGATTTATCAATTACTACCACTTCTCAAATAAGGTAATAAAAGGCACAAAAAAACTAAAACATAATTTAGTTGTTTTGATAACTCAGGATGAATATATATTCTGCTGCAACTGACAAAAGTATAGATTATAATAATCCTATCAATTTGCTTCTTTTAAAAAAAAGCAATCTTGTTAATGCTTTTCAAAAGAAATTCTTTCATAAAAGTCAACTACAAGAGAGGAATAAGATTGCTTGAATTCCAGATAAATGACCTTAATACAAATATCAGGGTGGAAAACCCCCTAGATCCAAAGATGCTTTTGACAAGCGAAGGCATAGAAAGTGTTAATATTTAACCAACACAGTAGGAAAAGTCATTTCCCAACCTTGTCCAACTTTCAAGGGTCCCATTAAATTTCATAAAGTAGTACATACTTTTTACTTTGCAAAAAAATTTTTTAGTTTTTTGATATTTGATTTCAACATCTCTTGAATCTGATCTTTGAAATTCTCTATAGCATTTGGATAATCATATCTGAGAATTACTTGAAAAAAAAAATGGTACTCATATAAATATCTATTGACTGGCTTTTAGATTTATGGACCATGATTGCAACAGAAGACTACCGCTATAGCTCAGTATTTTATATAATAAATGTAGTTAAAATGTTTTAAATTTCATATTTCTCTAAATTAAATTTTCCATGAAACAAAAACATGTATAAACCCTAATTAAATACTTTGATAAGCATTCACAGAGTAAACCTTAAACTCTGCCTCTCAAATAAAAATATACACTAAATTAAACAATTAAAGAATATAAACTCTAATGGTTACATTGCTTACTCATGGTATTACAACCCTTCTTTTTCTTCATCCCTTTGGTGTACACAAGTAAAGGTCAATGTCAACGCAGGTGTCAATCCTTGTCAGATTTTATACTTCCTTATGTACCATTTACTACTGTAGAATAGTTACAACCTAACCTAACATGAGCAATTTATAGGTGTCACTTGAGGTTCCTTTCATTTAATAATATTTGAGGAATCCTATTTCACTCTTACTTCTTTAATTATACTCCAGAGCAATACAGTCACCTCTATTCGGATATACTCACGGTTCTTCTAGTTAATACATTCAAACTAAACTGTCCTGTGTTATCCATCACACGGCAAATGGCATTATCTTCCATCTAACTCCAAAAGTCAGAAATGTGTGTATACACTTGACATCCTATTTCTCTAATTTCCCACATCCCATTAATTATCAAATCCGCTCATTCAAATTTTTTAAAATCTCCCCAATTCACCCACATCGCTCCTGCTCCACAAGTCACTGTTTTAATATAAGCCACCATCTCCTCTCCCAGGACACCCACAACCTTGAAATGGTCTCTATTTCCAGTTGTGATTCCTCAAGTCCATTCCCTGTACCATGGTCAGATACTTCCCTACGTCCCAAATCTGAGCATGTCACGTCCCCCAATCCCAAACAAGACCCTAACTTAAATGGAAATAAGACCCTTCTCCTGATTATTTTTTCTCTCTCTAGTCTTACATGTCTTGCTGCTTTGTGCTTGAACCATACAAAAATGTTTGCATTTTTCTTTCTTTCTTTCCTTTTTTTTTTTTTTGAGGCAGAGTTTCGCTCTTGTTGCCCAGGCTCACCGCAACCTCCGCCTCCCCGGTTCAAGCGATTCTCCTGCCTCAGTCTCCAGAGTAACTGGGATTTGGCTCCCCAGTTCAAGCGATTTTCCTGCCTCAGTCTCCAGAGTAACTGGGATTACAGGCATGCACCACCAAGCTAGGCTAATTTTTTATTTTTAGTAGAGACAGGGGTGGTCTCAAACTCCCGACCTCAGGTGATCCACCCACCTCTGCCTCCCATAGTGCTGGGATTACAGGCATGAGCCACCGCGCCCGGCCATGTTTTTCTTACCTCTACCCTTTAAAGGCCTTTCTTTCCTTTTCTTCCCTATTCCCCTCATATCACTTCCACCTTTCCAATTTGCTTACTAACATCTAGACTTCCATCCTTGGAGAGCCCTTCTTGACTCCCTTCCAACCCCAATTCCTGAAAAGTAAGTTAAGTGCTCCCCACTTTGTGTTGCCACTGCTGACATTCTAATAGTATTTTAATCTTTGCCTATCTCCTGTACTAAACTTTTTGAAGGACGAATCTCTTGGTCATCGCATCACTGCTTTACCAACCTCTAACATGGTGATTGGCATATAATCCCTCAATAAAGATTTGGTAAACGAATGACTAAAAGGAAGGTGAATTACCTTAAGCAACTCCACCACAGTTTCTGCAAATCCAACCACATACATAGCAACTGCAACAGCGTTGGCAAAGGCGAAGATTAGACCAATTGCACCACCAAATTCTGGGCCGAGACTTCTAGATATTAAATAATATGCTCCTCCTAAAAAACAAAAAAACAGGTACTAAAGTTAGAATTTAAAAAGCCAAATTATCCTTTAATTACACAAGAGTTCACAAAGCAGATGCCCCCAATAAGCAGAGCAATTAAATAGGCAAGTGAGTGACTGTATTTTCAGCAATACCTAAAAAGAATATTTCACAAAACACCTAACAATTCTCAGCATCCAGATAATGTTCCCCATATCAAATATAAAATCATCCTACTTGAATTCCCATTTTCTCTTTTAAAGTTTAGATTAAAATGGGTCACAGCCTCCTCCCCTTCACAGATCCCAAGAGACCATTTCCCAATGAATTTCTAATATATTTAATCTTAATGTAACTTTTATTTTTATGTTTTTGTTTTTAGACACAGTTTCACTGTCACCCAGCCTAAAGTGCAGTGGTGCAATCTTGGTTCACTGCAACCTCTGCCTCCCAGGTTCAAGCAATTCTCATGCCTCAGCCTCCTGAGTAGCTGGGACTACAGGTGCGTGTCACCACGCCCAACTAAGGTTTTTTGTTTTTGTTTTTTTTGAGACAGAGTATCGTTCTGTCACCCAGGCTGGAGTGCACTGGCGCGATCTCGGCCCACTGCAGCTGCCACCTGCTGGGTCCATGTGATTCTCCTGCCTCAGCCTTTTGAGTAGCAGGGACTACAGGCGTGCGCCACCTTGTCTGGCTAATTTTTGCATTTTTAGTAGAGATGGGGTTTCACTATGTTGGCCAGGATGGTCTCAATCTTCTGACCTCGTGATCCACCCGCCTCAGCCTCCCAAAGTGCTAGGATTACAGGCGTGACTAATTTTTGTATTATTAGTAGAGATGGAGTTTCACCGTGTTGGCCAGGCTGGTCTCAAACCCCTAATCTCAAGTGATCTCCCCACCTCAGCCTCCCAAAAGTGCTGGAATCACAGGTGTGAGCCACCACGCCCAGCCTTAATGTAACTTCTAAATCACAGTTGGTATGATTTTAATTACTTAATTATGGCAATTTGCTAGTAAGGTGAATACCAAGACAAAAAAAAAAAAAGTCTCACAACAGCATATAATGGTACCCCTAAAAGATGTAGTTTGTATCCTAGTAAATCCTGTCTAAATGGCAGAATAAGCAAAAATATTAAATAAGCTATCAAGAAGCAAGTTATTTTTCTAATTTAAAAAATAAATCGGTATTATGATTCAGAGTCAATCTAATGCTTACCTGAAGTCTCTAAGAGCTCTTCTAAAATTCTAATTTAAATTTGGCTATTAGGTCATAATCAAAACTTGGTTTTAATAGTACTGAAGTTACATAAAGCTATATACATATTTCTATAAACTGATGGAATACTTGAGACCATATAGTGAAATGTCATTAAACAGCTGAATATTTGTTTCTATTGTTCACCCAGTATAAAGAAGGTAAATGTATCAACAAAAAAATCCTACAGTTAAAGTACTAATGATGCAAACTTCATTTTGGAAAATGCCTGTAACAGGTTTTATAGTTGATTCCTATCAATTTGCTCAAAACATTCTATACTTTAAAATCCATCCACTATAAAACTTCCTTAGTTTTCATGACCCTGAAAATTAAAAAAAAAGCAACCCAACCATTTAACATTAGCCTCATGATTTTATGAGATAAAAATGACTTAAAATTTTCTATGAAATATTCTTGAACACTAAAAACTCCAATTAATTTACATAATGACAATTTTGTCAAAGATCTTAGAATGAATATATTACATCACATTATAATTAATCACAAGGAAAATCCCTACAATAGTATAATTATCAGCCTTTATTTAACATGTTTTCAAAATTAACAAATTATTTCATCTACTCCCAATAGCAAAAATGAATTAAAACAGTTTATCCTGATTTTATAGATGAGAAAATGGAGTCACAAAGACAGGTTACTGAAATTGGTCAACACTCCTGTCTTTAGTTGTTGACAATACAAACTTTAGAATCAGAAATATGACCAATAGGACCTATTAAAGCAAGAAATTCATGTTATGTGCCTTAAAGTTTTGATTTTATAAAATGCTAACTGAGATTTCACAATATTTAAAAGTCTTTCACAAATACAGAAACTTAAAACATAAAACTCACATTTTAAAATATTTGTATTGTTTTCAAGAAAAAGGAAGTGACACATGGATAAGAATATAAAAACAACTGCACATCATCTTCTATTATTTCTTATGAAAAGCAACAGTTATTTGCCCTATTCCCTCCCACTTCCATTCCTATTTCCTAGAGGTTATTATTATTATTTTTAAGATCTACCACTCTGAAAGACTGTGGTATTTTTTACTAATCAGCACAGACTAGGTATACACCTTATTTTGTTAAATACTACACATTTAACTTAATTCTACTAAAGTACTGTTGTCATCCTCATTTTACAAATGAGAAAATTATGGCTCAGGGAGGTTAAGTAATTTGGCTAAGGTCATGGAAGCAGCTAAGTAAATAACTGTATTTAAACTCAGATCTCCCTGACTTAATTGCTTACCAGTACAACATGTATGATAAACTCTTGTAAATCAGCCTTCCTGTTATCGCTAAAGATGCTGAAGACATTAATAGAAAATAAAAATTATTTCATTAAAAAAATCTATGGATCAAGCAAACACAGATGTTAATATGGAAAAAAAGTCCTGATGGGGTCTCAGAATTTGGCCATAAACTACCCTAAACCCTGACTGTAAAGAACATAATTAGTCAGATGCTAGAGATACTAAGTAGTGACAATACTGAGTTCCATCATTATTACATCTTGATTTGGGGATATATGCCCCTGTAACTCTTATTAAATCTCCAATCAGTAATCAAAAACCTAACTAGGCTAATCAAAAGCCCAACATTAAAAACTGGTATCAGTCATAAAATAAGTCTCAATTTCAAAAACCTGAAATGACACACTGTATATTACTGACCATAACAGAACTATATTAGATGCATGAAAGATCCCTAAATGTTTAAATTATGTAACACACTTTTAAATAAATCACAAGGGAAATTAGAAAGTATTTTGAACTGATTTGATAATGAAAGTGCAACATAAAATTAGTGAGATATACCTAACATAGAAATTACAGTAAAATTTGTTTTAAATGCTTATACTAAAAAATGAGGATGTATCAATAATCTAAGCTTCTACCTTGAGAAACTGGAAGAAGAGTAAATAAAATCTAAAATGGAAAAAATAGTAAGAAGAAAGCCAAAAATTATTCTTAAATATTGAAAAAAAAACTGATAAACAATAGCTAATCAAAAACAAAGAAGAAAAACAAAAAACTATAGGCGCAGATGACTACACCAGTGAGGAAGAAATAAGATCAATTTTACACAAACTCTTTCAGAAAATAGAGGAAAAGGGAACACATAAGATGAGCATAATACTGACATGAAAACCTAATAAGGTTATTATAAAAAAAAGACAATTCCAGGCCGGGCACAGTGGCTCACGCCTGTAATCCCGGCACTTTGGGAGGCCAAGGTGGGCGGATCACAAGGTCAGGAGATTGAGACCATTCTGGCTAACACGGTGAAACCCCGTCTCTACTAAAAATACAAAAAATTAGCCTGGCATGGTGGCTGGTGCCTGTTGTCCCAGCTACTTGGGAGGCTGAGGCAGGAGAATGGTGTGAACCCTTGAGGTGGAGCTTGCAGTGAGCCGAGATCATGCCACTGCACTCCAGCCTGGGTGACAGAGCGACACTCCGTCTCAGAAAAAAAAAAAAAAAAAAAAAAATTCCAGACCAATATTCCTTATGGTCATACTCAAAAATGTTAAAGTCTTAGCAAGTAAAATTTGACAGAAAGGATAATATCTCTGACCTAGTGAAGTTTATCCTACAAAAAGTAGGTTGTTTTAGACGCAAGAAAAAAAAAAAAATATATATATACATATAGGTTGTGATAATAGAATAAGCGAAGAAAAAATACATTCAGTTCAACAGATGCAGGAGAATCATGACAAAATTCACTATCCATTTACGATAAATATGCTCAGCAACTCAGAAATAGAACTCAATCTGACAAATGACATATTTTAAAATCTTATAGTTAACAGTGATAATGAACTCATTCCAAGACTAGGAACAAGGAAAGGATGTTTATTCTCACCACTTCTAGTCAACATGGTACCACAGGTCTTAGCTAGTTCAACAGTCAAGAAAAAGAGGAGAAAAAGTCCTAGAGACTCTAAAGAAAAAGTAAAAACCATCTCTATTCACAGATGACAAATCATGGCTATTGTGAAGAGTGCTGCAACAAACATGGGAGTGCAGCTCTCTCTCCAGTATACTGATTTCCTTTCTTTTGGGTATATACACAGCACTGGATCATATGGTAGCTCTATTTTTAGTTTTTTTGAGGAACTTCCAAACTGTCCTCCATAGTGGTTATATTAATTTACATTCCCACCAACAGTGTACAAGAGTTCTCTTTTCTCCAACATCCTCTCTAGCATTTGTTACTGCCTGATTTTTTTATATGATTTGCATTTCTCTGATGACCAGTGATGCTTACTGCCTTTTCATATACCTGCTTGCCATTTGTGTATCTTCTTCTGAGAAATGTCTATTCAAATCTTTTACCCATTTTTAAATTGGATTATTAGCTTTTGTTCCCGGAGTTGTTTGAGCTCCTTATATATTTAGGTTATTAATCCAATTTTTTGGCAGAAATTGGCATCCTAAATCAAAAATTTATATGAAAATGCCAAAGATCTAGAAAAGCCAAAACAATTTTGAAAAAGAAAAGTTAGAAGACTTAGACTTACTATGAAACTAATCAATCAATACAAGATAGTGCCAGTATAGGATAAACAAACAAATCAATGCAACAGAATTTAGTCCAGATGACAGACAATTGATTTTTCAACAATGGTATCAAAAACAACTCAATAAGAAACAGTTGTTTCAACAAATGGTGCCAAAACAAGTGGATATGTGTACAAGGCTGGGGGCAAAAAGGGTAGGAAGAAAAACTACACTCTCCATC